GCCCATGTCTCGAGCGAATCTCTGGCCAATCTGTGCCTTATAAAAAATGGCGGACCGGACTTTAAAAAAGTGGCGGTACAATAAAAATCGGGTCATAGAACGGGTTTTGGATCTCACTGAAAGAGCTGTAGGCCTTGACATCGGTTCGGGATTCTTTTGACGGGTAAGTCAAGATTCGAATTCGACCGCGAATGTTACTACAAAACCATGAAAGTAGCTGTGACATGCATGTTTTGAGATGATCCATCATTCGCTTCGTACCGAAACACGCGCCGATTTCGTATCATACGGTAAAGAGAAAAAAAAAAAGAGCTCGCGAATCCCGTACATTTAAGCGAGCTCTGTATGGAACTTTCATCCAAATCCTGACTCGAATCGGACTTGGGTTCGAAGTACATATCCGGGTCTCTCGAATTTGAATCCGCGACAGAAACGGGGTCGTTTCGAAATGGGTCCTCCCGTCATTCTCGTGATCACGAGAAAGTAGTAAAAAGATTTGGATTTGAGGGGCAAAGAGAGCGGAAGCTGCCTAAAAGGTGTAAAATCTTGGTTTTTTTTTTTTTTTTTTTTGGTTGGGTGTAAAATCTGGGTTTGATCACGAGAAATTGCGCATGGTAATATGGACAAAGATGGGCCGTGACGAACGACACGATGTGAACGCGCGAGCGGGGTTTGTTTTCTTTGGTGTCGACTCCCCTTCGCTTGTGGGCCCCCTTCCCCCGTTCTTGGGCCGACCGTCTCCCACGTGCCACGTGGAAAAAGGCTCTCCTCGTGTGAGGTAAAAAGAACAGGCACGCCTTTCTTTTTTTTTGATTTTTTTTCCGGCTTTTCTTTTCCATTTAGATTGTATTTATTTCGCGAAAGATAAATGATTTAAAATATATTTTACTAAAAATAATCACTTGTATTGTTTATAAAAATAAAAGAACGAGAATTTTTTCATGGTGCACGAAAAATATTTAGATATAAATTATTATCGATAATAAGAAAAATGCGTTAGCTATTTATACCAAGCTATACAAGAGACATTTTTTGGAAAATATTTTTCGAAACGCTCATTTTTCAAGAAACGAGCGGAGCCTAAATGAAAAAAGGCCAAAAAAATATATTTAAATGTGTTTTTGAATGTATGTCGCCGATAAATATAGATTTCTATAGAGTAATGCTTTTTCCACTTCTTCTTTGGCTTAGACACTCCATTTTCTTGTAGGGAAAAAACCACCAAAAACCCCAAACTTTCCCACTTGTGACACATTTACCCCGAACTTTTTTTTGTGACACCAAAAACCCCAAACTTTGTTATTTGTGACACATTTACCCCGATATACATTGTCCATGGGCATTTTCGTCTTTTTAGCTTTTTCTTTTTCTTTTTACTTTTTTTTTCTTTCCGGCGAGGGCCCCTCGCCGGATCCGGCGAGGGGGGCCCTCGCCGGCGTCGGGCGAGGCTCGCCCTCGCTCACCCGAGCGAGGGCGAGCCTGCCGCCGACGCCGGCGAGGCTCGCCCTCGCCTCGCCCAGCGAGGGCGAGCCTCGCCCTCGCTCGCCTGTGCGAGCGGCGAGCCCGCCGACGCCGGCGAGGCTCGCCCTCGCTCGGGCGAGCCTCGCCGGCGTCCCGGCGAGCCTCGCCCTCGCTCGCCCGGGCGAGGGCGAGGCTCGCCGGCGTCCGAGCGAGCCTCGCCTCCTCGCCCGGGCGAGGCGAGGCTCGCCGGCGTCGGGCGAGCCTCGCCCTCGCCCGGGCGAGGAGGCGAGGGCCGGCGAGGCTTGGGCGAGGAGGGCGAGGGAGGGCGAGCCTCGCCGGCGTCGGCGAGCCTCACCCTCGCTCGCCCGGGCGAGGCGAGCCTCGCCCTCCTCGCCCGAGCCAGGCGAGGCTCGCCTCGCCCGGGCGAGGGCCACGAGGCTTGGGCGAGGAGGCGAGCCTCGCCGGCGTCGGGCGAGCCTCGCCTCGCTCGCCCAGCGAGGGCGAGGCTCGCCCGACGCCGGCGAGCCTCGCCCTCCTCACCCTCCTCGCCCAGGCGAGGGCGAGGCTCGCCGACGCCGCGCGAGCCTCGCCCTCGCTCGCCCGCGAGGGCGAGCCTCGCCGGCGTCGGGCGAGCCTCGCGCGGCGTCGGCGGGCTCGCCCTCGCTGGGCGAGCGGGGCGAGCCTCGCCCGACGCGGCGAGGGCGGCCTCGCTGACAGCGTGAGGCCCCTCACGGAAAGAAAAAAAGTAAAAAGAAAAGAAAAAGCTAAAAAGACGAAAATGCCCATGGACAATGTATATCGGGGTAAATGTGTCACAAATAACAAAGTTTGGGGTTTTTGGTGTCACAAAAAAAAGTTCGGGGTAAATGTGTCACAAGTGAGAAAGTTTGGGGTTTTTGGTGGTTTTTTCCCTTTCTTGTATTTTGACTATACTATTCCCTGCGGGACCTACCACTTCTTGTACAATTCTATAAAAGTGATTCATTTTGTATTATTTAGTCAACTCTTTTAATTTTGTTTCTTCTTTTTTTCCATATGGGTCCCACTTTCCTTCTTCTTTTTTTCTTTCTACGAATTTGACAACTCAGTTCTACACCTTCCACTCCCTCTTCTTCTTCCCCAAACCTGTCGTCCTCTATTTTTTTTCTATGATGCCAATCCTGTTGTTCACCACACTTTCATCGGCACGGGCATTGAGCTTACTGGTGACCTCCCCAGCAAGCTGTTTTTCTCCACCGCACGAAGGCAGCAAAATAGTAGACGATATTGTTGTCGATTCGATACAATAGGTCATATTTGTTCTTAAAGCAAAAGACACACACTGTTGGAGGAGCAGTCAGATCTACCTTGAATGTAGCCTAATTTTAGATACAAGAGGCATCCTTTAGCCTCCACTCTAGATTTAAACCCAACACCTACAATCTTGAGAAAGCGAAAAAATTTTGGCCTCCATTGTCGTCAAATACTCAATTCCCCTTGAGATCAAACAACCGGATTAAGCATTTCCTATATCATTATTTCCAATAAGTCAATTAATGAGAAGTAATGACAACATTTAAAAACGGATGATGAAGAACTTATGAAAACCATAGTAAGAAATTGAACCCAGAGGGAGCAAAAGTCTATAAGACGCGAGTATGGCAACTGCACAATTAATTCGCAAACATTGTTTTGATGCACTCTACACTCTAAACACAGGATTGAAACACAAGATCAAGCATTTCCACGATCCAAAACTCAAATTCACTTTTAACAAAAAATATCAAGAAACGCTCAATAGCAACTGAACATGATTCAAGACCAAGAAAACTAAGAAGGAAAAATACAAGCTTTCGTCAGAACTGTACTTTTGATAGTGAATGAGGAGGCCGCAGATTGTTGAAGTAAGTAGTTCTTTTGGGATTGCAGAAGCAAGAGAGATTTGTGGTAGAAGAAGAAGAAGAAGAAAAAGGAGTGAGAGGCGTAGAAAGAAGAGAATGGCTTGCAAGAGAGAAAACACAAAAACGATTTGCAAGAGCTGACGCGGTGAAAAAAAATAAGAAGAAGAAGGAAAGTGAGACTCTAAATGAAAAAAAAATAAGAAACAAAATAAACAGAGTTGATCAAATAATAAAAAGGATCACTTTTGTAAAGTTTTACAAAAAATGGTAGACCCCACAAAGAATAATATGGTCAAAACACGAATAAAATGAGTGTCTAAGTCAAAGGAGAAATGGAAAAAACGCCACTCATTTCTATAATCCTTCCCATCCCAAACATTTATCTTTTTCGGCTTATATAACTAAGTGATTTTAAGTTTGAAAAAAAAAAAAGGTTCCTTCTCATTTAAAATTAAGTCGAAATGATAAATCTCTATGAATGAAAGCAGGTTCGTTTACTTTTAGTTGATGGGTGAGTAAAATTTGCATCTATTCTCGAATATCTTATTACACGAACAATGCTCGAAATTTGAAGCATTGTTTTTTTTTTGTTGAAATTTGAAGCATTGTTAATTTCGTGAATACATACACTATTTATCACTTCTCGAAAATAATGGATAAAGAGAAAATATCTTCAAATGTATTTTCAAATGTATTCCACCAATGAATATCGAAATACATGAAACTGGCAAGTTGACTAATTTGTTGACCACACATAAGGGAGACTAGCTTCCAATGCTACACGTTTTACTCTCGTTCCGGCTTTCTAGGATTGAATGGCGATCCGGGAAATCTAACATGTGTTTAAGAGTGTATTTATTTAGTGGATAATGAATGATTTAGCTAACATTCAAAAAAATGATTTATTGCATAGTTTACAAAAATACATAAACGAAAAATATTTTTATCATTTACAAAGATATTTAGACATTAATTGTTATCGATAATGAAAAAAATTTATTGACTAATTATTTCAAACGATTATTTATAGGAAAATATTTTTCAAATTATTTATTTTTTGCAAAATAAATGGAGCATAATAGTACTCATATATGAATTATGATGGCATCGAACATATTCGAATCCATCAGAGTCCCATTTTGATTGTCGTGGATTCAATTTTAATTGACAACGCGAAACAATCTTGAAATCCAAGAATGTAAGAGTACTCGTGATGGTTCGGGTGGAAAGCGGGTCCAGAACTTCATGTCATTACAGATGGTTGAGTGCATTAGTTAACATTGTCAAGTCAGTAAAATTACTGTATTTTTTTTTTTGAGTCTTGTTTACATATATCTGTCTGTAATGTGAAAAAAAAAAACAAAAAGTAATTTGGGAGAATAAATGAAAGGAACTTAGCAAAATATGCAGGAAATTTGTTTAAAAAATCTCAGTAAAGTAAATTAAGCTTTCTAGATAATTATCTCGACCATTTGCTGAAAAAGTATAATATAAGTGATTTAAGGCTTAGGAATTAGGATCTAGATGTACATAGCCTTATTCTAAAAGAAAACAGAGGCCCAAGCCCAAGTCCAAGCCCAATAAAAAGCCCAAGCCCATTAATCTATTCCGTGCTGCTGCTGCTTCTTCTTCTTCTTCTCTCTTTCATCAACCGAGCGCCGCCGAACAGAGAGCGAGACCTCGGGAATCGGAGCTCGATCGTTGCTCCGTCGACGCCGTCGCTCCCGGCCTCTCTTCCTCCGGACTCCGCTTCGTCTCGCGGCGGCTTAAACCCCGGCGCTAGCTCGCCATCTTCGACCGGCGGTACGCAGCGGCGCCACATCCGCGGGCGGCCCTGGCCGTCGTAGTAGTCGGGACCTCGGCCTCTGAAGTCTGGTCCCGCTTCGCCTCTCCCCGTCTCTCGCCGGTTTCCGCAGCTCTTTCAAGGCGCCGCTTCGTCTCTCCTCTGTTCCTCTTGCTGAGATTTTCGCCCGCGACGGGGCGGGGCTCCACGGGACACCGTTGCCCCCACCACGCGAGTCCTTCCGCCTCGTGCCTGTCTGTAAACCCAGAGCGCGCCATGGCGCACGCTTCGAAGGCGTTTTGAGATCAACCCATTTGAGAAATGTCCCTAAAACTTCACGCTTTGGCTTAATTATCCAGAATTTCGTTCTTCCTGTACCATATAGCTTGGTCTGCATTCTCTGAATGTGAGGGTTCGCGCGCGATGGCGAGTGCTGAGGAAGTGAAAAGAGACGAACTAGCCGGCTTTCTAAAAGTGCTTCCGCCGGTGGAGTTTTCCTGTGTCTATGGATCGACCCTGCATCCTAACAATCGGGACAAGGTTAGCGGTTATCTGTTTTGCTGTCCCAGTATATGGTTTCAAAGAAATGCGAGTTGTTTTTACATTCGCGCGTGAATTTGAATTTTCAGTCATCCATGGTGGATTACATTCTTGGAGTATCAGATCCTTTGCAGTGGCATGCTGAGGTACAGTTGAAGGTGCAATGTGTTCTACATTTCTTTTAATACGTGGAAGATTATCTGAATTCTTCATAGCTTCAGTTCTCTTGGCATGTCTTAGAATCTCAAACGGAATCGAGATCACTATGCTTCCTGGATGGTCCATGTTGGTGGGGCAAAACTGGTATCTCTCTATCTCTCTCTCTCCAATGCTTGATTGCTTGTGCAAAATAAAAGGTCTTACCGAAAAAAGTCTTGTTTTTTATGTTAGATTACGGAAATTGCAGATGAAATTGGTGTTGGGGTTCATTTCAACCCATTTGTTACTTGGAATGATAAGGTACTGCTTACTATGGAGCCTAAACATCCCCGATTCTTTCACTATAGAAGCTTTTGTTTAGTATAGCGAGCTTTAACATTCATTCATGTTTAACATATCAATGATTGTGTAGTGCCTCACGTTTAGGTACTTTTGACTAGATGCTCAAGTATGGAGTTGTTCGGATGCACGACCTGGTAGAGGATGTACTCAAGTGGGACAGATTCTACTTGAGTGGTAGACTGCAAAAACCAGTATGTTTTTGTCTTTTGCTGATGCATTTGTTTCCTTTACTTGCCATTCTGCTGATTTTTATGACATTATTTTCTCTTCATGTTTTGGTGAGATGGAACCAGAGCATGTTCCTTTATGAATTCTTTAATCAGAAACAATGTAGAAATGAGTTTGGAAGTTGCTATTTGCAATGCTTTAAGTTGATGATGCCTGGGCGTTTATAGATAACCATTTGTAGCCATTATTGAATTTTTCTTTTTTTAAAAATTTCATTTCTTTATTTTTGTAGAGTAATGCTATACATAGAATGACTCAGATACTAAATAGATTTACCAAATGATGTGGCAAAACTAAGTGGTTATATAAGTTAGTGAGCCCATTCAAGCATTCTACATAAATCTGCCACATCATTTATTTCATTTTCGTGGTGGGCAGAGATTGCGGAAATGAAGGGTAACGGTACTAAGAGAAAGTAGTTCTGTTAATTTGAGTTTAGAGAAAGGTTCCTGCAATAATTTCAACATTTAATATCGAACCAAGGAAAAGATATTTTTCTTTTTGCTTTCATAGGTGTTATCATTTTATTTGGTAACATGGAAATATTTGTGAGCAAGTATCAATGAAGATGAACACACCTTCGAAGGAGATGCTTGCTTATTCTTGTAGAAGTAATAGGTCATGTTTGCTGGTTGCTGCCCGAATTAGGTGCAAACTTTACCCTTGACCCTAAACTCTTGAAGTCAATTGGTAAGATACATATAGTCTGGAGCATAGACAACTAAAACATTGAACCTGCGGTGTTTCTCTGTACTGTTCTTTGTTCTCTCAAATCTTTTCTATTGTGAGTTTGATAATCTTAAGTAAACTTCGTTGAGAAGAATAAATGTTAGCAAGGCACAAAGTAAAGCATTTTGCTAAATGATTGGAATGCCGTAATCGATTAATAATGTTGTGAGAGCACCGGGTGCATGTATATTGAGTGCATTCGATCAGTCTAGCTTGCCTTGTCTTCTTGATGCTTCCTCCGTCGACAAGGAAGGCATCTTTTTTTATTGCAGCATAGAGTGCATTTAATCATGGCCCATTTACTTAGTTTTGTTGCAGATCATTTTTCTGATGAAGCTTTTGAGCTAATTATACATTATAATATTTAAGAGAAAAGACATCAGTATCTGTTGAGGTATTGATTGGAGTGGGAATAGGTATTGTAATTTTATATTTATTTATTATCAGGCAACCTTGATGATTTGGACACCTTAAAAGTAGTTTTGACATGATTGCCATTCTTTTGAAGTCACATGGATAATCGAAACTTATACAAACATCCAAATTTGACAAAAGAAGAATGTGTTTTTCTGATTTTGTGCAATGAGTACTTTTGTGCTGTATCTCTAGTTCTTTGTCCTAAAGTAAAAGAGTAATACCTGCGATTGGTGCATGCAATAGCTGGCTTGATCTCTTTTATTTGTTTATTATGTGAACTTGTTAAAAAGAGGTAGAGAAGGTCTAAAAAGACGTGGGAGGAGACAATAATGAGCGATTTGTTTAATGCTTACTGAAGATTTGACACAAAAAAGGGTTTCAATCCACATAGATGATCTCATCAGTGGCATTATGTTGGTTGTTGTTGTTGATGTTGCAACGTGGACTTGGTTTGACTGTCAGTTCTGAGTCTTTTGTTGACTGAAAATTACTTTTTTTCTGACTCATTGACCTAGTTTGTTTGATTTAGTTTCTAATTGCACTTGGTAAATCTTGCAGGTTCACATACTGCTTGATAACTTGGACATTGAAAATGTCAATTCTTCTAATCTGAGAGCTGCTGTCTCGGCTGCTCTTCTCCTCTTGCCACATGAATTTTCTGAGGTTCAGTTCTTTGTCATTCTTTATCAGCTTTTTGTAATTCAATGTCCATTTCCTTACATTTGATTTTTTTCGCAGGAAGACCTTTATGCCAAGATATGCAGTCTCTCATACATGGGTGACCTACGTATGCTTTTTGCAGAGGATAGGAATAAGGTAAAGCATTCTTATAGATCATATCTTGGGAACACTTGTCTGTGTTTTTATTAAGAAAAGGACATATCCTAGTTCGAGGAATAACATGGGAAGCAGTTGTATTGGTGAGGCTAATTTCACCAGGGCACATGAATGTACATTGCATTGATAGATGCAATCTGAAATTAATTGACTTTCACTGAAGACTTGCCCCGAAAATGGCACTTTCTCGGCCTATGGGAGCTTAGTTCCCAACATTTTAGTAGCTAACAGTTGCATTAGATTCCCATAAACTACGGACTTTTGCAATTCTTCATAGACTACAGTTTGACAGTAGGACACTTGCGAAATTTTACCTTCAACTCTTATTATTATATCTTCTGTCTCATCTAATGGCACGACTCTCAGTGGATACTTGGTTCCTTTTTAAATTTGTAAAAATTGGAACTTTTGATGAGGTAGTTTGCGATAAGTAAATTTATGGGGTTCGTTTGTAAAATGGTTTTTGCTTGTATTGAGGATTTTCCATATCCTGGTTCTTTTATTCGCTATTTGTGAGCATTAGCTGTTGTTTATATAAATGATGTACTTCAGGTGAAGAAGATTGTACAAGGACAATTCAGTCTGTTTCAGTCTATGTACAAGCCATTTCTTGAGGAATATGAGACAAAAAATATGATAAGCTTCTCATCATGCGGTGGTCATAAAGCAAATATATGTCAGGTGCAGTTGCTTTTACTGTCTTGTTAAGCAGTTTCAGTTGTTTACTCATATCAAACTGAAATCTCAATGATTGTCCATACCGGGGGGAAGACACTCAATGTTTGATGAGTAATATGATTGCAGTTATATCCTAGATTTATGTGATGTGCAAGTTAGCGACTAAATGTTCACACTGTGTCTGAGCTTATCCTCTCCTGTCCTTTGTAATGCACCTCTCTTCTGTCTTCTGTTTGCACGTGTATTAGCCAAAAAGATTAAATATAATGGCCAGAAAAGGCACGCAATAATCCACATTTGAATTTGCAGCCAAAATTAATCGATATTTTTAATTTAATAAAAAACTGTGAAGCCTTTTGTGGTGTCTGAAGATGCTAATTTTGATATGTTTGTAAAGAGTTTAGGTGTTTGACTAATAAGGTGACACCTCTAGCTTTAGATGTTAAACATAAAAGCCAAAAGTTGAAAGTCAAAAGCAAAATGACACACCCACTAATTATGTTTTATAGGCCAAAGTTGGTACTTGGTGTTTATGTTGTTTGAGAGACAGAGAGAATTGTAGCTGGAGTGATGCTCAGCTGTGTCTCAAGTGATGATTCCCTTGTTTTTATCTGCTGTCTTCATCAGATGAAGGTGGTGAAATGAATTTTAGCCTTTAGAGCAAGTAAAGCTATTTTTCTTCTAGGTCTGGAATCTGTTCACATTCATGTTGCACCTGACGATTTCTTTCATGGCCTTTTTCATTTCTAAATGAAGTAGGATATGTTATCTCTTTTCCTTTAACCACGTAGTCTTTTTCTGATATTTTTTCTTCTACCGATGTTTCATTTTTTGACCTTTTCTGGCTTTCGTTTTTCTTTTGGAGTACTAATGACATTGGACTGTAGCAGTGCAGACGGGTAACCCATGTGGTAACTTTTTTTCATGAAACTGTTTTTGGTCCCTGAAAACTCCATTTTGGAACCATTTTCTTTTGCGTAACTTCTTGACTTGATGATCGTAGCATACCCAGATGAATTGTACTTCTGAAATTAGAGGTTCTTCATGCTCTGATTTCCAATCAAGAGAAACTTTGTAAATATCCTTCATCTGTCGTTGCTAATTTATGTGTTCTGATTGTCTGCAACATAGATTGAAAATCGATTTTTATGCACTTGAAGGTTTCCCTTGCTAAGGTGCATAATTAATCTTCAAAGAAGCGACATTTGAGACCGCTTTATTATTTTAATCAATTGAGCTATGAGGGCTGAATCATTCTGCAGTGTAACTGATCCAGCAGAACTCCTGTTTTGACCAGGATATCGATTTATACACCACCTGTTCACTTGTTTCCTTGCTACCGCAAGCAATGAGAAATCGCATGGGAATGAAGTTGGGAGAGCAGAAAAGGATTGCTGAATCAGGTACACTATTTAATTCTCGTTTTTCGGTGGGTGGGATGTAGCGTTGAGCATTGGGTAGGCCGGTTCCATGGTTTTCAATAGGGGCAAATTACCACTTGACCAAGGATAATTTTTAATAGTCAAATGATGCAACTTTTATATTTTATTATGATATTTTTACTTTTCACCCAAAACATTAAAATGGGCTTGTTCCAGGTAGAACTGGGCCAGATCCAATTTTTTGGAACCAAAGTTCATAGGGTAGGTTCCCAGTTCTAGGTTGGGTGCCAACTCACCTTGGAACCGATCACCCCTAGTGGGATGTACTCCTTGATGTATCATTTTAGTACAGTTGTTTTTGGAGTTTTTTTTTTTTTGGTCAGAAGTTGTTTTTGGAGTTGGTTGGCTTGTACTTATCGCAAATTATGCATCAGAATTTCTAGGTATGACTCTTCTTTATCTTTTTGTACTCTGTCACAATGATGGAGATAGTCATCCTGGGTTGTCGAATGATTACTAATCAAAGTGAGATGATTTCATATCAAGTGTTAAAAGTTGCAAGATCGCCTTGATAATTTAAGATTTAAGATAGCTGAAGATCTCTGAAGGATGATTAACGTGACCTGCCTTCTTGCGATAGTGGCATACGATTGCAGACATGAGACATGTCCTATTGGCCCTAAGTTTCATGTGTGAATGCGGCATACTTGATTGGTTTCTGATTATAACGGTGGTATTTACTGTCATTTTTTTGTGCAATCATGGCATCCTGCTTGAAGACAGCACAGACATAAGTTAATGAAGGAAGCAGTTACTGCCTCTGGAAAATGGTAGAAAACCTACCTGAAATTTATTTGCATGCTCTGTGCAGGTCGAGTGGTTCGTGATGTTAAGATCAGCTCGAGAGAAGAGGCGGCAAAGTGCATGCAGAAGGTTCTCCGGCGGACCGTGCTGATGTCGAGTGCGAGGCAGGCAGTTTCGGGATTCCTGACTACTGGTGGTCTCAATGCTGTTAGGTATCTCGGCAAGAAGATGGCCAAGGCTTGGAAGTCCCGGACCTGATCACTAATTTATCGCTTCTCTTACCTAGGAAACCTAAATTTTGGCTAGAAGTTTAGGAAAACGAGTCACACACAAAGATGGGCTTTTCCGGGGATGCTCATCTGTTTTTCCTTTGCCATTTGTGGTTGTACGGAACGTCGATAGTTTATTTGTTGTGCTATTTGAATAAGATTGATGACTGATGGAAAATTTTGCTGTGCAGTATAGTTTGCTCTTTGTCTCGTTTTGCTGCCTTGTCAATTTTGCTGGAAATTATTCAGATGAATTACGGTTGATGGAGGGATAACATTGAGATCCATGAAATGGTCCAGAGGTTTTCAAGACAAAATGTTGCAAGGAATTATTTAAGATAAGTAGGTGATCCTTGAAGCTTTCAAGGACCTTTCTTGAGTACTCTATAACATTATTGAGGGAATACGGGAGATGTGCACGAGGGCGTTTTAGAGTATTCTTCCTGGTAAAATGAAAATATACTTGTGTACTAGAGATTTCTTATCAATCCCCACCGTTAGATTGGTGGGCTGGAGATCGACGGAGATTATGATCTAAGCGTGCGACGATGCATAAATATTTCCACAAAATGTACTTCTCACATTTAAGATTTGACCCAAAGAACATATTTGAAATCATTAAGTAGGGATTAAATTTAGAATTTGATATAACGGATCAATAAGAAGTTGAGTCTAGAGTTTTTTTAACCATATATTGATTTTGCAGTATTTTCATAAACTTGTTATGAACCGTCTAACTAGAATCAGCTCTTCTATTGAGCATCGATAGAAGCGAGAGCACACATGTTTCCTTTTGGTGTTATGTGCATTAAAGCTAGATGCAAACATGGTCTCGAGAATATCAATATTATGCGGTCGATCAATTTAGAAGTCTCTTTTAAGTGTCGTATAATTTAGTGTTAAAAGGGTGGGAACATACGACAAAAGCCCTGATAATGTCGTATCGAGAGAGACTGTCTACGGAACGTGCGCAAGTCCTTAATGTCCTAACCCATTAACATATGATCTAACCGAAATCGCCTTGTGTAAAAAGCTCTAGTCATCGAGTGAAGAGTTGGAGTTCCTGTTAAACTGCTTTATTTAACGAAGAAATGGACATATTTAAGCTTAAATATATCCAGCTGGAAAGGACAGAAGCCAGGCTATGCCGTTGACATTTTGCCGCATTTGCAAAGTAGCAAAGTACATCCGATGCAGTCGTGTCTCCCTCCATGACCCGTCCGTTTCTCAGGTCGTACTCGTGCCATGTCTTTTTGTACTCACGATCCCCATCACTCCCAGAAGAAGAACAAAAGGAGAAATCTTCGTAAAGGTCGAAATTCATTTGACCAAAAAGTCATTACAGGCATTAAATAGTCGATTACTATTATTGACCCGGTTTATGATTGTTTTGAACAAGGATGTAATTCGATCTCGGCATGTTTTACACAAGTTTCGAGTTTAGAAATTATTCGATCAGTCTTAAATTTATTATGCGGATATTGATTCAGCCCTAAACTTTCAAGTTTTGCCAACCTAGTTATGCACTTTGTGTGAAATTTCAACGTAGTTTTTCCAGTCAATTCTCACTGGAAGTCACTGATGTGGCAGTTCAGTCACCACCAATCATCCTAAGTGATACACCGACACGCCAGCGATTTTCGGTGAGAAGAGCTATATTAGAATTCAGCACAAAGATTTTGGATTAAATTGGTAAAATTAAATAATTTAGGACAGAATTGGTATCCGTATTATAAATTTAAGACTGATTTGATATTCCAACAGTAGGCTACAAACTCGAGCGATTTTGCGGGTGCATGAATTTCAGTGCTAATTATGCAAAAAAAAACTTAAAAAACAAGAAAAAATAGAATAGGAATGTAAAACAGGAGTCATGCATGAAGCGCATATGATATGGCCATATGTAAAGGTCAATGATGGGCATAAGCAGTCAAACTAAGATTCAAAAGTACTGCTCCAAAAACCTTCCATTCTTCGACTTCATTTCAACATTTGTAAATACTGATTTAAACATAGGAGAGTTCAGTCGCTTGATGATCCGATCGAGCGCAAAGTCCGAATCATGGGCCCTCGACGGGATTCGCCTTCTTTCGCTTACAAATGCGGGATTATCTACTCATTGTTCAATGGTCGGAGCATAATATCTTGCAAAACATGGAGGTATGGTATGGTATTGGCGAAACATGGTGCCCTTTATTTTCGCGGAAAATGAACGAGAAAGAAAACATTTTTCTTAATAAATGATGGCTAATATCGCTCAAGTTAAGAAAAAAAAATTGAACGGAAAACATTTTCATCGTTCATTAAAATGTTTAGATATATATTGTTACCAATAGTGAAAATATCTTTTATTTACTAATTATTTGAAGTTATACAAATGACTTTTTTTTTTGAAAAAATGATTTTTCCAAATTATTCATTTCCTGCCAAACGAACGGGATATCAACCGTCCGTTCCAATTTTCAAAATGGTAGTATATGAGCATGCCATTTTGTCCTTCCATAACTTTCCCGTTGAAAAGGATGTACAATGTCAACTCCCCTACTTTTCTACCAACGCATGCTGACTCCAGAAGATGTTCACTTCACTCTATTATCTTCCGATTCTATATGCACTCCTCCTCTTATCTCTCAAGCACGTGAGATAAAATCACTTACTAAAATAAAAATGAGGCCTATCAACGAAAATCCTCGTCTCTCGGGAATACACGAGTGAAACTGCAAGTGTATAATTCCATGGAAAGTAAAGCCCACCTAGACCTCCTAAAAATGGATTCACCGAAGAGAGAGGGAGATCTAGACGGCCTTACCTTTTACCGATCTCACTTCTATCGAACATGCTACTATCTTATCGCTCGTTCAAGAAATAAAAAACCAAGATCCTACGTTATTATCGGCATGTCATTTTGACCGAGAATCTAGACCCGATGTGAAAAAACAAAAGGGTCGAACTTTCCAAGAATGAATTCGCCGCGAGTCACTGCCACCTGATGTATCCGCTCGGCGCGGCGAAAAGGGACAACACTATCGAACCATTATTAATGTCTTTGTGTTTTGTATGGTAATATGGCATTCTTGTCTTGTTATGTGTTGCAAAGTGAGGCCCTAATTCCTCCCCTTTTTCCTTATCTTTTTCCTAGCGGGCAAGTGGTCAAGAACACACCCACAAAGATCTTTTGTCTGATCTTTCCTCTCCCCGACAATCTTACCCCGCTTTTCCTATCTATCATCACCATCTAAATTCGGGGGGAAAAAGACCAGACGAGCAGAGCAAAGAACAAGTGTTGCTGCTCGCTTGACTGAATCTTGAATCTTCTGCAACAAGAACTCATTGACAATGGAAACAAATGTAAGAAACATCATATAAAAATTGTTAGCACAATACAGAATCTTTTTGCCCTGCTGCTACATGTTACACTCAACGACCGACCCATCTACTACTCCCAAGAACAGTTAGTCATCATCATCAGATCTAAAATCAAAGATTACAAAAGAACAAGACGATCTCCACCCACCCCGCCTACAAAGTTGACAGACACCCCGGAAAAAAAACAAGGAACCCTAGAAGGAGGAAAGGTCGAAACTTGAATAGCTTTTCTTTCGGCTTATTCCTAAATCTTTAATGGAATCTCAGGCGTAGACGGAGCCGTACGACAGGGCCATCAGGAGCACGGCGGCTTGCTCCACCTCTCCCAGCTTCGTCCTCTGCCTCTCGTCGCTCAGTCTCTGCATCAACACCTCTCGTCCCCAGGCCAAGACCCTACGCTTCAGGGAGCCGCCGTTGCTGCTGCTGCTGCGCTTCGCCTTCTTGATCTCCACCCCGACTTTGTTCAGGCCGATCACCGCCCGCCTCTTCTTCCTGCTCCTGATCCCGCACGCATTGCACAGAGACTGCAAGGACCGAAAGCACAGATCGATCACGAACCCGCGTCGAAGAAGAATCGGAACAAGCCCGATCGAGCGGGATCGACCGATCGGTTCAGCTTACCTTAGGGCCAGCTGGGCCGCCGCGCCAGAGAGGCGTCTTGGAGGTCCCGCAATCGGCGCAGGTCTTCTTCCCGTCCGCCGAAGCTCCGTCGGAACAATCCGCCGATCCCTGCAACAGACCCAACCCAAACCGGCGTGAGAATTCCAAGATCCCGATGGGACGAGCTCGCAAGAAGCGGCGGTCACTCCGACCCACTGACCTTTTCGCCCGGATCCGGCATTTGCGTCGGCCCTCGGCAAGATCTAGCAGCTCCCGGACGCCGGCGAAGCACCAGGAAACACACCCCCCCTCCGGCGACCGGCGAGACGCGACCACCCCGGGGATCGGGGGACCAAGAAGCGATCCCGCGGCGAGATCTGCCGGACCCAAGTGGCCAGGAAGGAGCAAGAAGCGAATCGAACCCAGGAAACGAGGGATCAGAGGGAGAGAGCAGGAGGGTCAGTGACGATCTTGAGGAAGGGAGCTCAAAATGGAGCCGACAAGCGCACACTGAGCGAGAGAGAGAGAGAGAGAGAGAGAGAGAGAGAGAGAAGGTGTAGAGAGAGAAAGGAGAGGCAAAAATTGAAACCGAACCGACACACGCCGCAGGCGGATCCAATTTTTATCCTTAAAAATCGAAAAACCCTAGCTTTCACACTGAGGAAATGACGGGCCTGCCCCCCGTTTTTGAATTGTTTCACCGGGATTGCCACCCGCCAAACCCACCCCCCCGCGAGGATGAAAGGAAAAGGTGGGAAAAAAATTGGGCGGAAAAACAGAAGAAATGGGAGGGAGCGAAGGGCGCGCGCCATCCCATCCTATCCCCAAGCCCCTTCTTCCCCTTTCGATTTTCGCATCTTCGATGAATCGAATCTTTTCAATCTCGGCTTTTTGAAAGGACCGCCGTGGTGGTCGGTCTTTCACGGGATCACGAGTTCGGTTCGCGTCATAAATGAACCTTTTCGACGGCTCGTGCCGCCGCGCTGTCTGATTGACTGCGTGGAAATACTTCTTAATTACTGATGTATATTAATGGAATTACGGTGACGGGGCTTGTTGAACTCAAACTTTCGAATCGCGGGAGGTATTAAATAGCTACGGCTTAAATCGGACGTTCCATGACGGCTTGGAAACTCATTATAACGCTTAGAGGGGTTGCTACTTGCTAGTGCTGGTTATCCCCCCGCCATTTTACTTATTCGAAAGAAAACAAAGGGATCCCATTGCGTCCTGATTCATCACTAAGGCTGTCTCTCTATCTTCCGTGGGTAGTGTTGTATGTCTTCGATGTATCTATAACGTGATGCAGTACTCAATGACGAATTACAACCTTGGAGAATACTATATGTCGAGGTGACATCAATAATCAACACAAATGAATTTACAAAACGTTGTTCTTTTGTTTGGCACAAAAAATAATTGAGTGTTTTGTGGCAAAAGTTACCAAAAATCCTAAACTATGTCAATTATGACATATTTGTCTTAAAAAAATTTCCCGTAACACTAAAAATCTTAAACTTGCACATGTGCGGCGCATTTACTCCATGTCAAAGTTTTGTTAATAAATACAATTAAAAATTTGCGTACATAGACGCCAGAAAGCAAACAGTATGGATATGACATCCACATGGCTTAAATGAAATAAAAATGACGCTATTCTGATAGAAAAAATCATCTAACGGAAACCTTGATAGAGGGTGAATGGGTCGCATAGTTACAAATTTAGGGTTTTTTTATGTCCCAATAAAAGTTTAGTGTAAATACATCACAATTGGCATAATTTGAGATTTTTGATGTCACAAAAAAAATTTTAAGTAAATGAGTTACAATTAGCATAATTTAGGATTTTTTGCGACTTTTTTCCTTTTTTCATTTGATTGGACATTTGACAAGATTATTGTTAGTATTTTTTTATTGTTTGATAAGTGCAATGTTTAAAATCTAAAATTTCGATATTCCTTAAAATAGGAAGAAAACTTTCAAAACTTAATTGGCATGTAATTCCAAACTTCACCGATTGCCGTTATCGTAACTATTCATTAATTCGCTTGTCGTATGGGAATTTCCCTTTTTGATAACTTAAGGGGTGCGGATACAGTGACCCCCGCGACTAAAAGCCATGAAATAGTCGGTGAGTGTCACTAAGTGCCTTTGGCTCGTGTGAAACTATAACGACCTAGTCCAACGAAGGCGGGGAGTGATCGTTAGGACTAGAGGGCCTAGACAACGAGCGGTTCTTTACAGGCTTATAGGATGGCGAATGGAGCATGAATGAATCGAACTGTGCATTAGACAAGAGAGAACGATTTTTGGATATATATATATAAACTGGAATTAACTTATGGAGGCGCATTTTGATGTAACGGTAAACTTAGCTTTGGAACTCCAAAATTAAGTGTGCTCAGGTAGAAGCACTTCCAGGATGGGTGACCTCCTGAGAATGTGGCCACCAACATGTCAAAGAATAAAGCCGTGAGACTCAGTATGGGACATGCCAAAAGCAGATAATATCTCCCTAAGTTAATCAAAGGATGTCACAATATGGTATCAGAACGAGACCTCCTCCAGTTAGTGTATGGTTCTGGGACGAACCATGCGAAAGCTAGTGGGCCTGTAACGATCCGGTCTGATGAGGGTGGGGAGTGGTCGCCGGGGCTAAAGGGCCCGGACGAGAAGCGACTGCTAACAGGCTTCTGGGATGGCGAATAAGGGTAGAAATGAACCGAACTGTGCACTGAACAGGAAGATAGCGATTCTGGGATATATATGTGATAACCGGAATTAATTCACAGAGACGCATTTTGATGTAATGGGAAGCTTCGCTTTGGAACTTCAAAGTTAAGCATATTCAGGTGGAGAATTCCTAGGATGTGTGATTTCCTGGGAATGTGCCCGCCTTTACGTTAGACGACAAAATTGTGAGGCTCGATATGGACAGGCCAAAGCAGATAATAGTTCAATGAGTCAATTCAGGGATGTTACAGAAATGCCCCCGATGTAGAGATCTAAACAAAAGACCTATAGTTTTTTTAGTTGAAAATTCCCCGACGCTCAAACCAACTGGCGGGAATCTGAAGGTCATCAAACGGAATGTTCCGAGTCGCATCGAAAGAACACGCAGGCGCAGTAATTCGAACGCGGGCCTCGAGCGAGGAAGGCGAGCCCTACAGGATTTATGTGCTGATTTGGGTTGGAGTAAAACATGGGATGGACGGGGGACCTCACTCACACATATATCCTAAAGGGACCACAAAAGGAGAGGGAAGCAAACGACGAGGAATTGGTCAGGCCTTCTGCGCATTTCAAGATGGGGGAAAAGATCAAGCAAAAACAGGGGGCTCAGTAAGCAGGGGAAGGCTGCTCTGCTCTGCCCGCAATCCAATACGACAGCAAACATCTCTCTGCTGTCCCTTTCTTTGCTTTTCGCCCCCACTCACCATCACTTCCTATCCCAAAAAACCCCCCCCCGACCCGACCCGGCAAAGGGCTCCGAACCCGAAGACCATTCCGAAGTCCGAGCCCGACCCGAGGCGCAAAAAACAAATGAACGAGCAAGAGTTCTCCATTTGAATAGCATTTGTTTGCTAGGATCAATGCTTCGTTTGGAGAGACACCAGCTGTTCCTAGGTCCCTTTTCTCTTGTCCATCCTTCAAGACTTAGATTATTCACAAGGATTTTATTAAGGAATTAAAAAAAATTTAAAACTTTAATACACCGATCATTCTCGTGTGATGCACAACGGTATCTTAAAAACCGATCGATTGCAAATGGAATGCGTTGAATTTAAACCCCGAAGGCATCAGATAACAGGAACCAAATAAATAATTATCCTGTGTATGTAGGATATTTATAGTTTTCTTTTGGGTTAATACTACGAAAAGCTCTAAACTGATACATCTGTGATAAATTTATCCAAAATTAATTTTTTTACCATAAAAAACTCAAACTGATATACTTGTGACAAATTTACCCTCCGTTAAATTGAATTAATAAAACGAAAAATCACAAACTGGTAAACTTATGACAAACGGAGGGATAAAACCCTAGACTGATATATCCGTTAACTGTCATATGTCATCAAACTTAGCAATTTGACGGTAAAATTTAATGGAAATTAACGAAGGGTAAACTTGTCAGTACCAGTTTGGAGTTTTTCGTGATATTTACCTTTTTCGTTTTATATCTTGTAGCTGCTGAGTTTAACTTTTGTTATTGTTGGTTTAATGGATTGCTGCTTAAAATTCAAAAAGATGAATATATTTTGCATAAATTATTGGATAAGTTAAAAAAAAAAAGGCGAATATTCACATACTTTAATGAATCCGATTCCCTATGGTGCTTCCGAAGCCTCTCACATTTTCACTCACAGAAAAACAGAAAATTACCAGTCCCTGGGCATACGCACTTGGCTCACACCACATCAGAGAACTTGCTGAAGACTGAATGGGACCCAAAAGCGGGATGTTGCTGACCCTGATGACCATCTCCGGTCGCGGGGTCCTCGCGATCGACGGCGGCGATGCGGGGCGGCGGCGACTGAGGCGGGGACGCGTAGAGCGCCGAGGCCTCGAGCATCTCCTGCCGTGCGATTTCCTGCTCTCGGAACGCTTTCTCGGCACGTAGGGCGGTCAAGTATAGGCCGGCGGCCAGGAAGACCGTGGCCAAGGCGAAGACGCCGGCGGCGCAGAAGAGGCCCTCTCGGATGACGAGGCAGCTGGGCCTTGGCCTGGCCCAATTCCTGAGGTGGCCCGACTCGACGCTCAGCCCGATCAGCAGTAGAATCTCCCCAACTGCAAAAGAAATCCTGCAAAGCCCAAAGAAAGATGAACATACTTCCATGTTCATAGCTCTGTGTTACATCAGATTATATTTACAGGCATGGTGGTTTTATCCCAGGTTCGGAATGACATATTTCATGTCTCGATAATTTTTTCGCGATAATCAATCTAATTAATCGAATTGCGATCTCTTCGGTTTAGTTCTATTCTCTATATAGTCTGAAATTCAATCCAGGAAGTTTACATGGTTCCTGTATTCTCTCTTGATTTCCTCATCTGTGTTAACCTCTTGTTTTCCTCGGTAAGTTTTCTGTAAACTGAACATGAAAAGCGCACAATAATCGACATGGCTAGATGTCACTTGAAAAACATGTGTTCAATTTAAAGGCGATGGATTGCGACGGCTCGCATCGCGAATGGCATACCAAGCAATCAAAATGGCATCCCAGCGCATATGCAGGACTCCCGGCTCTACAAACGTTTGGTCGGAGAGGCCTTATCATCACGGCGCGGGTGACCTTATGATCACGGCGCGAAGGGTTAAGGGATCTCCGACGGAAGCACAAAGTTGAAAGGGAGAGAGAGACCAGAGAGATAACAGAAGGAAAGTGTGATTATTTACCAGGTGGAGACGAAGAAGAACGCAGCATGCCATGTGAGGGTACTGGCCGCGAAAGCTGGTGAAGAAGGTGGCAATTTGCTGACGGCGATCAACAGGTAGGTGTGCTCGACCACCATGGCCATCGCCAATATCAGGAACGCGCTCGCTGCCGACAACAGCGGCATCTTCCCGCTCCCGCTGTACACGCATTCATAGTCCCCAGACCCTCCCTCTTCACTGCTGTTAGTATTGGATTCCCAAGTCACCTGCAACGACATTAGCCAACATCATCGTCTCAAAGAGTACTCCTTCTAATGTCGGGTTTCAATTGTTAGGAATTTTTTGAATTCAAGTCAAATGTGCCATGACCTTTGTGACGGTCCGACTCAATTACAGTAGCCATATCGATACAGAATTCATTAGAACTATTCGCGTTTCTTTTATCTTAATATATATTAAGTGCAGAATGCAAGCGAAAACTGAATTATTCATATGAACTAACATTGTCTATTGGGTCGAATACAAATGCTAAAGTTAGGAAAAAAATAAGAACAACCAATTGGCTTTGCCAAACCGATCCAACCCCATAAATTATTGCCCCTTCATGTGCCATCTACCATTCAACATGAAACGAACACTAAAGTTCCAAAAGAAGTACCTGCGAACGCGTAGCTTCGGCGACTAGGCAGAGAATGAAGCTGAGCAGGCCACATAGAATCATCAAGACTACGAGGGCGGCGCCTGTCTTGCTACCCAGGTGGGTCCTCCCGCGGCTCGGCGCGAGGTCCGCGTGCGTGACCGCCTTTCCTCGAGGCATTCTCGAGTCGCGAAACCGTGCAAAAAATGTGCATCACACTGATCAAGAAGACAAGCGGAGCCATCCTTTCGGAGCTTGTATAAATGGAGAGAGAAAGGAGGGAATGAGAAGAGAAGGGGAGTTGCTTGGGGCAAAGGTTGCTTAAAGGCCAGAGATTCCCCAGGTTCGGGGCTTTAATGTCAAGTATTCTCACAAAGGACGAAGGACAACTTCTGTTCTCGGTTCCAAATTCTTGCTTTAAGAACATATGCAAGTAATCCTCATTTTTTTAAGGTAAAGGCACAAAGTTAAGTACCGCTCCCCGATCGACACGTGTGAAATTCCCTTTGCTTTTACCCCCTTCGCTTTGGTTCTTTTCCTTTGAGCTCAAAGTGCATTTTGGATTGATCTTGAAAATTCCATGTGAAAAGACACGGATCGGTTGCAAATCTGCTGTCTTTTGAATGGATGATTACAGATCATGACATGATTAGCACCTTTAGTTGCTTGGCCCTATTGAGGAAAGTCATCAAAGCAGTCAACCGCTCGAATAAAAAACTGCGACATATGCCGTCGGCGTTGACGGTGTCCTGGAGGGCGCTATGGAGACCACGCCCTCCATTTTGAGTTCCCATTTCAAGCCGGGGTTCTCTTGAAATCCTTTGTTGATAGAAATATCACGTGATAATGTTGACATATCGTCCATCGTATGATCACGAACGCAAATGGGTAATGGACAAACATCTAGAATGCAGGAGGAATTCGTGGCTCTGCATATTTTTCTCCTCTTTTCTTCTGACAGTACCTGCTTTTCTTGTGTCTGAACCTTTGACGACCATATGTTTTTAGCGTGCAAAATGGAATTAACGCGAAACAAACAGGCTCGCAAATGGCCAAAAGCACATTGCACAAAAATTTCGAAATTAGACAGCTCTTTCTCAAGATGCCCAGTTCAACGCTCCTGCAATCTTTAGCTGTTGTTAAGGTCTTCACGTCCTCATCAAAGTTAGGTCAAACAATATCTATTGAATCTCCCCCTTTGGTCCAAAAGGAGCAAAGCACAGGGCATTGACATGTACACGCTCAGCACGTCTCTTCAGCGTTAAAACGCCTTCCTCTCGTTGCCCTCTTATATTCTCTCCCCAGCTTCCCCTTGAAGGCCCCGTCCGAATCACCCCATTCCCATCTTCTCTCATCAAGATCATGGACGACTTCCCATCGAGGTTTCGAGCTGCCGAGACTGACCGGAGGCTCGAGAACTACGGCTATAGCAGAGACAACGCTCCCCAGATGCAACAGCATGCAGGGACGGATCTGTCTCGAACAGGCTGGTTCACCCCATCAAATTCACCGTGGAACCAGAGCACCGATGTGAAGGATAAAGCTTCATCTTCGTCGTGGGCGCGGAGTCTCAACGACGCCGAATCTAAGAGACGGAAAAGAGTGGTTAGGTACAAGGCATATGGCGCGGAGGGGAAGATCAAAGCTTCGATAAGGAGCGGCTTTCGATGGATCAAGAACAAGTACTCCGAACTCGTGCATGGTTGCTAGCAAGAATTAATCGATTCTACCCTGAACGCATGAATGCCCTGTCGCGAATGAGCACCCTTCATCTTTTTTTATGGCGGTTCCCTTTGCGATTTTTTTTTCTCTCCTTTCTTGTACATTTTCAAGCAACAACATACAAGAATCACACATTGATGGATCCGATTCGGGATGACGACGGTTTGTTCATGTCAAGGAGGTCGTATAGCTGCAGAATTTTGATTAAGGTTTCAAGGTTCAATTTTGAATCGGAAACAAGTAAACATTCTGTATTCCAATCGTTACTCTGAATAGAAAACAAGGCGCCTTTTCTCCTCGTCCTCCTAGTCCAAGGCGGCTCGAATGCCCGAGCTTTTTCCCGTGTACGAACCTGGTAATCCCTGAGGATCATCAATCAATCAATTGATATTGAGAGAGCTGATATGATAGTCACAGTACAATGACAAACTTTTTCTCTTTTGTGAACTCTTGGTCATTGAAATTATACAAGGGCTAAACTTATAGAGAAGTTCTATCATCTGATGAGCCATTAACCAACTGCACTACAAAAAAAAACATCCAAGGGGGCGGACACAGATTTGGAGCGTGACTAAATGTACCAGGTGCACATGCACTAAATGCACCTAAACCTTTGAATCAGGAGGATCTTATGTGACAATGTCGTCAAAATAATTCCTCTCTCGACAAGTTCTTTCCCTCTGCAACAGCTTCAACCCTGTTTTTCACCCCTTGGATCTTTGTAAAATCTCCATCAATATTAGCTCTTAGTCTTGCATAATTACCCATAGTACCTGAGACAGGAATACCTTATCAATACTAAAGAGATTTCACAAAGCAAGCAAAGAGTATAACAAGTTGGGCGGCAAAGTCTCATGCAAATAATCACAACATTTAGCTTGGACTACAGATACGACCAAGATTAAATGGAGAGATTGGTTCACCTGTCCCGTGAGAGCTATTGACTGAGCAGGTTAAATAAATTTCAAATGTTTCCGCACGGCATCACAAATTATGTTGATACAACATGCTGCACTCAATGGATAGTTGGAAACTGTTGCAAAGTAAAAGGCAGAGTAAGATATGCAATAAGCATAAGATGGCAAGACTCGCATAGATAACATTATTTACAGCAAAGATATGTTGCTCAAGAAAGAAAGTGTCATCACAATGTCAACAGAGCAATACAATTTCTCTTCATTATTTAGGATATGAAAAAAAAATCTTTTGTAAAAAAAAAACAAAACAAAAGCATCCCCGACTTCCCCTTATTCAACATTTTGCATCCTCTACTTTTGTAATATCCAGAAAACATATGATCTACACCGTTTACAAAATTCTATACAGTAAAAGATGTAAAATGTTTTTTTTGGAAAATATTGGAGTCCAGGAAAGAGAAACTAAAGGATGCAAGCTATAGGTTTTAAAACTGGAGGATGGAGAATCTATTGCAACATCCCCCGTAATTGGTAATTTAAGACTTTCACTTTCAGCAAGGGCAGTGACCCTCATAAGGGGAAGTAAAACGTCAATGCTCCGGCGATTCACAGTAACAATCAACAAGGGTTTAATCTTTGACAAAATCCGCCACAGTGAAGCAATGTTGTACCATACTGCTAACCCAACATAGTATGATACTAGGAAACAATTAGAATTTCTAGCTAAATTTAATAAAAAAATAAACAATATGATTTACTCACTTGAAATAAAATCATCTGTATACTCGGATTCAATTTTCCCATGGGCCATCGCACCAACCTGAATGTGAATACTATAAGGCATTCTGCTGAAAGACATAACATATTGTTACACAAACTAATACAAACTCACCACAAACACTAGAGGAATATCATCACCAATAGCAGCCACATAGTCCTGCATTTCAACCACCTTTTCTGAGCTGTGAGAAAATCCTGAGATACAAAAGGAAAGCAACAGATTTGTTTAATTCGCTCAACATTTGACTTGTAGAGCGAGAGAGAGAGAGATGATACCCAGCTCTTACCGATTCTTCTGGCATTGACAGGAAGATATTGCGTCACAGGGTTTTTGATCACCCGCAAAAGTTTCTCACGCTTGCCCGCAGCTGTTATACTCAATTTTTGCAGTAATTGCACTGTAAAGACATAAAATTATTTACAAATGCCTTCGAAAGAATTGGCCGATAATGGTCAACATGCTATTAGGCAAAAGCAAAAGGTACATACACATTATGCCTGAGAAGCGCTTGTATGTCCTGGGGATACGAACATGAGGCTTGACTTCAAAAAGCACACCCTTTGCAGTCCTTACATAGACAGCACGAACCTTTCCAGCCTTATTTAGTGGGCTGTCTAAGATCGACAAAAGAGCCTGAAAGCAAAGTCAAGAGTCAAGTGAATTGGTGCAATAAGCAGTAACAATAGAAAACCAACTATTGACACATTTCATCCCAATGCGCACAAGCTACATAAAAAATAATAACAACTCATATGTTAAATGGGTTGATTTATTATATGCATCTGCTTATCGAGATGCCATTTGCCCATGAATCGGCAAAAAACCCCATCTCCATGTCACCACCTGAGAATTCCTTCTAGAAGGATGACCAATGCTTTCCATGCTAGGTAATAAGAGTAAAGATAACATGACTAGTTAAGCTATCACGAGTAGCCAAATCAACAAATAATGCGGAAATTCTGGAATCTAGGGACTATGAAACCTAAGCATGCAAATATACAGTCCTTAAACTTCATCTATAAGTCTTCAAGAAAAGCATCAAATCCACAGCGGCGAAGTTTACAAACCTGGTGAACAATGTCGGGTCTATATTCAGCTGGATTTCTACCATTCCTCTTCAAAAAGTTCGCGTGATCATCTGAATTCAAGATCTGATAGGTCTGCAAATGTGACCGAGTTGCTTAGTCTAACTGAGAAGCAAGAAGACAACCCAAGAAAGACATGGATACAGACAAACACTTTTACACTATACGTACAAACGTATCAAAAACAGAAAAGTAACAGAAATCCACAGATCTCTTGTACCACTGCAATGGAAAATTGCTTCTTTTAAAGTAAAATTTTACATTGTGCAAGGAAAGTTTAGGTTGATCTGTAAGCATCAACGTCACAAGTCACGGTTCTGACAAACAGATGAACTGTACAGTGGATAAAACTGATGCGTAAGGGGAAAAATAAGAAAGACACATGATCGACAGCCTAAGTTCAAAACCAATGCATCTTAAGATTAGAGCAGGGAAAGACCTTTCCAACTTTAGCAACTTCTAATGAAGCCTTCTCAAGAACAAAAGTAATCCCGACGTTCTTGGAGCCTTGACTCTCGACCGGTCCAAGCGGTATGCCTTCGAGTTGATGAACCACATCATCCTCTGCTTCTTGCGATTGCTTCTCGCGATTTTCCGCCTCTTCTTCTCTCGATACATCATCATCTGCTTTTAGTTGCTTCGATTGCGGTTCTTGCTCATGTTCACCTTCCTCAATCTCCGCATCGTCGTACTTCTCCTTCCGCTTTTTGTTTCCCCGTTTGACTCCAAAAGGCCTCACCATCTTTTGACCTCACTATTGATCCTGCAACCACCCAAATTAAGCCCTCGTTCAATCAACAACCGGAGTGAGCTTGAACCAAGAGCATAGGAATGCATCACCCATCACCCATTACCCATCCGGGTCCCTGTTCCCCCCATTTCTTCCCTGGATACTTAGCATCTTTTTTATTTATTGCATGAGTTAGAAGAAACATCAAAATAAAAAAAAATCCAGGGCAAAAATCTGTACACACGGATTCCGAACACTACAAGAAACAAGTCATGTGTTACAACGTACGACATTTGAAGATACTATTCAACCCCATCACAACAATCCCATCGTTTTTACCAATAAAAAATCAAAATCAAAACTTCAAAAGGGGGAAAACAAAAAGAAACCTGAAGCTTAGCCGGAGTTGCAATGCTGACGGAGAATTGGTTCCGTCCCTGTGAACAGAAAGGCGAAATAGAGTCAGGCGACAAGCTACTTAGGTGTCTCTGAGTGTGCGTGAGAGAGAGATGGAGACGTTACAACCTAGCCGGGGGAGCAGGCGACGGCGACGGCGACGGCGACGGCGACGGCGACGGCTACGGGAGGATGAGCTGCGGGACAGCGAGTCGGGCGGAATCAAGACTCGGGATAGCGCCGAGCTGAAGCCTCTCGCCGGCCGCAGCTGCCGAGAGTGCGCGGCGGACGGACGGACGGACGCCGGCGACGGGAACCTGAGCCGTCGAGACGGTAGCAGCAGACGGCGGTGGGGCTGTGGAGCTTGGAGCACGAGTGGCCGGGTTTAGGGTTCTTATGTCAACTGGACGACGGGACGAGAATACATATTAATCAAAGATTATTATTATTAATAAAAAAAAGCAATATTTTATGTGATTACTTCATTAGTTCTCTATATCATAAATTACTTCTGGTGTAAAAAATTTACTACATTTTTTTTTCAGAAATTACTTAGGGAAAATTTCAAATCAGTACTCAAAATGAGGTTATTTTCTCAAAAAGGGATTCAAAGTAGATATAATACCAAATAAGGGCCTGAAGTGCCAAATTAATCTCAAATAGGGGCCCAAAGTGCTCAATTAGTCTCAAGTAAGGGCTTGAGTTCGCCGGTCGGTCAAATGCTCACCGGCCAGCAAGCACGTCACTGTTTCGGCAACCGGAATAAGGGCAATTTCATCTTTTACTTTTTAATTTGTTTTTTCTTTTTTTTTCTTTTCCTTTTCCTTTTCTTCTTCTTCTTTTTTTTCCTCTTTTCTCCCTGCCTGCCATAGCTGGGGCCGGTGGAGGTTGCCGGCCTCGGGCGAAGGCTGCCCTTGCCGGTGTCGGGCGAGGGTGGCCGGCGAACTCAGGTCCTTACTTGAGACTAATTGGGCACTTCGGCCCCCTATTTAAGACTGATTGAGCACTTCAGGCCCTTATTTGACACTATATCCACTTTGGACCCCTTTTTGAGAAAATGACCCCACCTTGAGTACTGATTTGAAATTTTCCCAATTACTTATTAGTTGCAACTGAGCTACTAATTTTATCGATAAACTTACTTCTTTATCGTGAATACAAATCTATTTTTCAATTTAAAAAGGAGGTGGAAACCTTACATTTTCAGTGTGCTAAACTAAGCGACAAAAAAAAAGTGCAAAATTACTAAGGTTTAATACCACGAAAAACTTTAAATTGGTATACTTGTGAAAAATTTATCCAAAACTAATTTTTTGATCATCAAAAACTCCAAACCGGTACATCTGCGATAAATTTATCCAAAACTAATTTTTTGTTCACCAAAAACTCCAAATTGGACAAGTTTACCCCTCATTAGTTTCCGTTAAATTGGATTAATACCTGGATTAATACCGCGAAAATCACAAACTGGTACCTATATGACAAACAAATATAAAACCTCACATTGGTACACCCGTGAACTACCACATGAAGGGTAAATTTGTCACAAATGTACAAGTTTGGAGTTTTTGGAGGTCAAAAAATTCATTTGTAGTAAATTTGTATTAGTTTTGGGTTTTCCGTGGTAGTAAACCAAATTACTAATCACAATGTAAAAGTTCTTTCTTCACTTATTGAAGTTATTTCCGAAAATCGACAAAAAAAAAGTTTTGTCCGAACAAAAAAATACTTATTGAAGTCAATATTTATTTGAAAAGCTATCAACCATGGAGAATTTATAATTAAAATTTTTTTTTCTTTGAAGATTCTCCAGTGGCAAATAGATGTACAAACATAATTTAGTTAAATCCCTTCGCTAGTTCTTAAAATTAACTTTTGATGGCATTTGGTATAACCAATCGAGATATTTGTTTTTTTTTTTGATGACCCAGGGAACCCCCGTACTGGCCGACAACCAATCGAGATATTGACACTCAACCCTTTGCGAGAGGAAGAGTTCTCCCGGGGTGGTCCAAACGATATATTGATACTTAACTCTTCAAAGAAATAAAAAGCCGTTCAAAATTTTTATTACAGTAATCAATTTGTAGAGCCGAAAATTTAAAGGTCCTTTAATTGTTGATAAGAACCTTCTTATATAATTTGTAAACGAAAGAACCACAGATAATTGGAACGTATGAAATCAATTAAAACTAGAATTTTCATTCTAGTAATCGACAAAATGTTACATTCCTCTCCCTTCCATCTTAATTCTCAACTCTCATTTGTGGGTCCTCATAAACCCATAGACCCACACTCACGCCTAATCTCACCGTTACTTCCGATCTTAGAAGCTGAAGATCTCATAGTCTCTCTCGAGAGGTTGTCGAACCAGAACGACGATGTGACATCGTTGACCGTAAAACCTGAAGTCTTTCGACGGGCAAAGGGGCGTGTAGGCTCCGGGCGAAGGTCCACGGTTGGGTCCGTATTGGAAGTTTTGCTTGAGTTGTAGATGTGAACGCCTTGCGGTGGGAGAAGCTAATGGTGTGGCCCCGGACATGGCCACCGTGTCTCGTGTTGAGAGGCCCTTGGTGTTGAAAAGAGAGACGATTTCAGAGAGGTTTTGATTCGGCAGTAGGATGATGATTCTTTGGAGATCAAACCATCTTTTCTCCCCTTTGAGGGAGTACGTTGCAATTGTCATGGTATGAGCGCAAGAGACGATCCCGGACATTGGAGCTCCACCATGCTCGGAAGAAGACGTTGAAGCCGGCTTCGGGGAGGGACAGGTTTATCATTGCATCCCTCCAACAAAGGACGCATCACATCCCTAATATCTAGGTTCAAACGTCAATTAGTCACTCAATCAATGAATGAGAGAGAATTGTTGAATTTCTATATATTTTGATGTATTTTAAATAAGAATACATGAGCCTATTTATAGGTTTTAATATATGACTATTATAAGATAGTGTTTCAATCAAGATATGCACAACCATGCAATATGTATGCACAATCATGCAATTGTGCACAATACGTGCACGATTGTGCAAACAATTGTAATTTGATGTCACGATTATGTCAAAATGGCAACAATGTATCGTAACATCAACATTTTCATAGTTTGCGAGTTGTCATGTGCTTGATAATTCCTCGTTTTCAAAAATTGATCTCGTAAAGATTGAACTAAAAAATTTCATTTTTCTCGAGGTCAATAACTCAAATAGGCATGAAATTGTGGGAGAGGAGAGCTTATAGGATCCCAAAAGTTAAAGATAACTTTTACAACAATAGATTAAATTATAGCATATAATGTTCACATTCCAATCTTGCAAAGTTTGTAACGTTCATCAATCAAGTATTAAAATATTTAAATAATAAATCACGCGCTCATTTAACAAGTTAAGTTTTTAAAACAGTTAGTTAGAATGATCCTACAAAATCTCACATGGTATAAGGGCAATCCTAATTTCAATTCTTACAGGCCTCTATTTGCCTCTCCAATTACATATTTCTACACCGAGGCTAAAGTCTAGCCTACGCACGAGGGAGAATGTTAAAATATTTAACTAACCACGATTTTATCTAATAGTCTAAACTTTTAGAACAATTAGTTCCACAAAATCTCACTATGAGTAGTGACTTGGCTTAAAGGCAAGTAATTTCATCCAAGTATAATGACAAAAGGCAGTGCAAGATGTCTCCAAGCCCAACCTCGCAAGCCCCTCCTCCCATGGAAAACCCCTCGACAGTGTTGATTTCCTTAAAAACAAAATGTTGCTGTGGGGAAACAAAATATTTATTCATTCACGAGAAATACGGGGACAAAACATAAGAGTTTATGAACACCGGATACTCCAAAAAGGCCACGAGGGGTAAGTGATCCAATTGGGAGGAAGAGTTTTCCGACGGCGGGCTTTAGCAACTCAAGACGTGTTTGGCAATTTATTAAATAGTAACTATTTCTGTTCTTTTGTTCCAAGAATCAGTTTTGAAACAGAAATCCGTTTGGTAAATTTTTTGTTACCGGGCACAAATTTGCAAAAATTTGTTCCCAAAATTAGTTTTGGAACAGAATCAAGAAGCTATCTGGGACCAAGAATTAGAAATGAAAAAGAATTTTTTTTTCTTCTTCTTCTTGGTTTTCTTCTTCTTTTTCATTCCTGGCCTGCCATCGGCCGCCGGCGAGGACGTCGCGGCCCTCGTCGGATCTGGCCTGGGCTACCCTTGCCGCCGCCCTCGCCCAGGCTGCGAGCCGCCCTCTCACAGGCGGCGAGGGTCCAGCCCTCGTCGTCGCCAGCGAGGGTGGCCCTCGCCTGTGGCCGGCAAGGGTTGCGATGCCCTCGCCTGTGACCGGCAAGGGTTGCGATGCCCTCGCCTGTGGCCGGTCGCCGGCGCCAGCGACCGGCCATGGCCAAGGAAGGGGAAGGGGAAGAAAAAAAGAGAAAAAAAATTAAAATATTATTAATAAAAAGAAAATTTGTGTAGTTACCAAATGTATTTATGTTATTTTTCTATTCCAATAATAGAAATAATGGGCAGTTACCATACGCTTTCAAATGCTTAGAAATTGTTCTTGGGCATAGAATAAAAAAAAAATTATTTCTGAGTAGAATCAACTTTCGAGAGCAAAATAATTGCCAAACGCGCCCTCAGTCTATAAGGGAGTTGGCCTCGCGGGGAGCAATGAGCGGCTCGAACGGACTTCAGTTGGGCCAAGAGCAAGGCTCACAATCTTCCACTAGCGGACGCAGGGCCCATAGGCTTTTCTTCCTTGTCCGAGATGAGCTCTGCGACAAATCCACAGTCTGTCTTCACTTCCCCGCTCGTGTCTGGCAGCAGGAACTGGTCTGGCTTCCCTAGCAAGTACGAATTGGCGGTCAAAGCTAAAGCTGCGTGGACTGAATTGGCAAAGCGCGCGACCATAGCTCCACTTGAATCGCGATAAACGGCGGCCACGGATCCGTCCGACGCTCCTTCCACCCATGAGCCGTCGGTGTTGAGTTTGAGCGTTCCTCTGGCCGATGGCATCCATTGTTCAGGTGAGCTAATTCTGGTCTTGCTCCGTTTTCCTGAACATGGGCTCCACCTCACATAGTTCTTATGTTGGGAAAGGGTTGTCTCAACAATTGCGGTCGGGTCAGGTATGCGGTCTTGGAAGATTTTGGCATTCTTGGCTTTCCATACTACCATAGTACTTCGGCGACCGACTCTCTCGAAGGTGAGTCCCAATTTGAGCTGAGCATCTCCATTAGCCATTTGTCCATCCAGGTAATTTAGTAGCAAAGGAGGAATAGGTGCTCGACAGTTTCGGGGGCTTGTGAGCATAAGGTGCATGTGGGGCCAAGTGTGATCTTTCTCTTGTAAAAGTTTTCATGCGTGGGAAGCGCGTTTTGACGGACACTGAATAAAAAGATGCGGGTTTTAGGAAACCTGACGCTGATGTTTATAATTAACCTGATAAGAAGTTGCACAATACTAAACGATAGTTTAGAAAAGAAACCAATCCTTAAGGGCATCGATAACTATCGATTTATGCACTCTCAATTCTTTATTGCCCACCAATTGGCACGGCATTGGCTTGGAATTGTCGGTTGATAGGTTGATGGGGGCATAAATAAATTACCAGAAAAGAAAATATAAATGATCATGATGACAAGATTTTAATGAAAACAAAAATTATAATGATACTTTACATAAGATGAACAAGTATTAGACGTAAAGGACGTCCCGTGTAGAAGGTGAACAAACTGAAGAACGTGGGATTGTTAAGGCTTGGATGGATCAGTAGAAATTGAACAACTTGAAGATCAGACTATAGAAGGTGAATTGTCATTCCAACATGAAGCGTGGAAAGATTGGAGGGACCACGTGCAAAAGTAGCTCCTACTATTATAAATAAAAAAGATTAGCCTAAACAACATTAAACTTTTTCATGTTCATCAAACTTTCAAATTTCATCTCGAGTTACTTCACCACCACATCAACCATCACAAACAATTGTAAATTTGATGCCATGCTGGTACCACAATGGCCAACAACGTACATATCACAACATTAACATTTTGTAGGTCAAATTTTGAAATTGATTTTCAAAATATCGAACTAAAAACCTTACCTTCGATGAATTTCATTTTTCTCAAGTTCAATCACTAAAATAGTCAAGAATAGTGGAAAGGTAAGCTTATAGGTTCCCAAAAGTTAACCTATCAAACGAATTTTTATTTCAAAAATAGAAATTTTGTGCCGTCATCATTTTGGGAGGGCCTTTATGCAACCCGGATGGTTTCCATTCCGAAACTTTCGGGGCAGAACGTCTCGTGAAAATCCCCGAAAGCAGGGCGCTTCGTTCAAACCAAACGGCCCACGTGTCGATGGCCTAGAGCGACTGTCCGGGGCGGAGCGTTACCGTCCGCGGTGACGCTATCAAACGACGAACACCCCCCTCCCCCCCAACATCCCCCACGTGTGAAATGCCACTCCTCTCCCTGTTCGGAATTTGAATCCTCCATCCCTCCTACTCCTCCTCCTCCTCCCACTTTGAACCCAGGAAAAAGAGACGTTACAAATCCCCCCACCACCTTTTTAAAAATAAATAAAAATAATATAGCCAACAATAATTCCCCTGCATCTCTCTCTCTCTCTCTCTCCTCTCCTCTCTCTCTCTCTCTCTTCCATTAAATGCTTTTGAACTGAGCAAGAAAGAAGACGAAGAAGAAGAAGAAGACCGCCCCCCCTCCCTCAGTCTCTCTCTGTCTCTCCCTCAAACATCATCCTCGTCACAACAGAGCAGAGCATTCAACTTGTCTGACCCCAGAGATCTCTCCCGATATCTGCACCGCTTCCTCCTTTTACTTTCCCGTTCTCCCTCGCCAGGGAGATGCGCGTGCCCTGCCCGGAAATCAGCTGATCTCCGGCCGTCGCAGCGCGAAAACCCGGTGAGTACTCTACCCTCTTTGTTTGCTTCCGGGACTCGTCGTCATCGTCATCGCGATGGAAGTGCGGAATAATTCTGGGTCCTCCACCCTTTTTTTGTTTTTGTTTTTGTTTTTGTTTTGGTGATCATCCGGTACTTTGTGGGTTTGATCAAGTCCCCGCTTGTGGTTCTTGACTCGATCCGCTTGGAGATGGGCATCTCATTGCTTCATTTCGAGCTCGTTGCGATTCTGGGTCCTCCTCTTTTCGTGGTTTCGGTGAACATCTTTTGTCGTTGTCGGTTTCTGCTTTGCCTTGCCTTGATTTGATTGGAGAGGGATGCTACATTGCCTTTTCCTCCCACTTTGTGCTTATTGTGCTTCTTGTTACCATATTTCGCTGACCTTTCTTGCTGGGCAATTTGTGGAAGTGGAAAAAAAGTAGAATTTCCAATTGCCGTTTTTCATCCTGTAATTGTTTGTCTATCGGAAGTTCAGATCTTGTGCATTCATGTTTCGTTTGTCTCGTGCAAGTTCGGAACTTGAGTCCTGCAGCTAGAAGTTTAGTGGCTTACAGGCAAAACAAGAAGATAATATTATCCTTCTTGTGTGGAATGTTGGAGTTGTCACTTATCAGGTGAATATTCACAGGAGTAGATGAAAGTTAAATCTCGGAATGCTGGTGTCAGAGTTTTGGTTTGACCATTAGTCTATTACATTTACATCAACATTCTCGCTGCTATATTTTGTGATCTATGCTGATTACCGAGGCTTTACTTTGATGTTTGAGTGTTGTTCTCCTTTCACTGATTAATTTACCGGAAGGGCTTTTAGGCTTTTTAAATAAAACAGCGTAGCATATTGAACTCAAGAGTACCGTCTTGGATAATGGCTTGTTCATTCCATAAGTTGGTGTTTTGTTGCCGCATGATCGAAATCTCTAGAGATTCTGATAGTTATCGCACATCACCATATCATGCTGACTAATTACTTTGAAACTGCATTTTGAGTGAAGGAAAGAGTGGCATTCGTTTCGATCATACCATGGATCAATCTTGGTAGTCCATAGAAGTTTCACTTCAAGATTCTTTTGCAGTCTTGATCCGCGAAAATGGGTATTGATAAAGATGGTTCAAAAGGTGGAGGATATGTAGGAGGTTTCTTCCAGCTCTTTGACTGGAAAGCAAAATCTCGTAAGAAATTATTCTCGAGCAGGTCCGAGCTGCCAGGTACAGATTTGCTCCTTTGTGCAGATATTGGGAATTAGGATATTTGTGCATTTGTCTAGTCACAGTTTCTAGTTGTGTTCTCATGCCTCATTACTTATCACAAATTCCCTTTTTACCATCTCTTCTCACAGAGCACAACACCAAGCAGGGAAAGAGAAGGGAAGGAAATTTGCCTACGACACGTGTCTTCCTGGTAATTACACAGCTTTGACACCATCAAGTTCCGTTTAATTACTTGATTTATGATATGATATAAACTCATACATTTTAATGTCATTTGTGTTTGCAGGTAGATGAGGATGAAATTGGGATGGGGTCTAGTGCCAAAGGGTATAGTGACTATAGTTGTGCTTCATCAGTTACTGATGACGAAGGATACGGAGGCAAGGCTCCTAATGTAGTAGCCAGGCTTATGGGATTAGACTCGATGCCAACTAATTCTTCAGAACCATACTCCTCCCCGTTTTTTGACACTCAATCTCTCCGCGATTCCCAACGTTACGGGAGAAATCTCGACTATCCTCCTAACTACCAGATGATGTATTCTGAAAATCTAGCAAACAAAATAGAGGGTCCTGTCCGGAGTAATGTGGAGTGGAAGCCGCCTCAGACTCAGAGGATTGTAAATAGGCCGATCGAGAAGTTCCAGACAGAAGTTTTGCCGCCAAAGTCAGCTAAATCTATACCAATTACCCAACACAGGCTTTTGTCTCCTATCAAGAGCCCTGGATTCGTTCCAAGCAGGGATGCTGCTCACATAATGGAAGCCGCCGCCAAAATTCTCGAGCCTGGGCCTCAATCAATGAAAGGCAAGACGCCCATTTTTGGTTCCTCTGAACCCAGGGCTCAATTAACCATGAAGAGTAAAATGCCAATGCTTGATTCCTCTTCCGGTTATATGAAAATTAGGCATGCCAAAGAGAATGAAGAGATTGCGAAAAAAATATCTCTGATAGACCGGTCTTCAGTACCACTTAAAGTCCGAGATATGAAAGAGAAAGTCGATGTTTCTCAGAGAACATTCACACATGTTGAAGTTCCTCAAAGGCCAGTTGAGTCAAATGCTGCCAGGTTTCTTAAAGGACATTCTCTCAACAAAAGCTGGAATGGAGTAGACACATCTTCTTACCGAGGTCCTCCTGACAAAGAAGATGCTTCTTCCAGTTCTAAGAGTAAAGGAAAGTCTGTTTCACTTGCAATCCAAGCAAAAGTCAACGTTCAACGCAGAGAAGGGTTATCTTCAGTTGACAGAAGTCTGGTCCGCCAGCAGGAGCTCAGCGATAATAAGTTAACCCAGCCCTTCAGAAGCCAACCACGTACACAGAAGAATTCCCAGAAGAAATCTCCTCTGCATAGCGCTTCTGGAATTCTAAGGCAGAATAATCAGAAACAGAATTGCTTATCAGAAAAAGAAAGGCTTCCCTCAAAGTCCTTCGTGCAGAATTCGCAAGGTAAAAGAGCATCATCAGGGGATTCTTCTGGACGGCAAAAGACAGCTTGTAAATTGGTTGGAAGCTCCAAAGCCGGATCAAGGAAGTTGGATGTGATCAGCAGTGAAAAGGACAATTCGCAGTCTAATACAAAGTACTTCCCAAGGAAAAAAAGGTCAATAGATGGGGAAGTTCATTTCGAGAAAACTCGTGCAGTACATGATGTGTCCATAGACAAAAACAGGAAGGCGGTGCAATCACATCCAACTTTACAATTGCCCTCCAACTGGGCTGAAGAAAGTAGGAAGAATGGCATGGATGTCATTTCTTTTACTTTCACGGCACCTTTGGCACGATCTATGGGTGGCTCTGAGCCCTCAGGCCAGTCTAAACAGAAAAACTCAGATTATCTGGGTGGGAGGATCTTCTCCCAGTCAGACGGCATGAAATCAGCTTCTCAGGGTTACAACATGGTAGGCAGTGATGCTCTGAGCAAACTTCTGGAGCAGAAGTTACGTGAGCTATCTTTCGAGGTTGGGTCATCTTCACACGATTCTACCATTGTAGATTCACCTTCTAGTTCGGCATCGACATTTCAAGATTCAGCACCCACACACAATGCAGTTTGCTCAATACTGAGGTCATGTGACAAGAGTGACCAAGCTGTGCTCTTTAGCAGTAGATTAGGCAGCGAGTACCGGAATGATCCTTTTGCCGCTAATCAACTTCCGTGCAGATTTAACCATGATTTTCAGGTATATGCTTTTCTTCGCCCTATTTCTTATAATGGGAAGCATATTTAGAATTCTCTGAAAATGCAACACTTAACCAAAACATACTATTAAGGGTTCATAGACACAGGAAATATAACAACCTTATAATTAAGAACCAAAGGAAGTAGTTGATCGTTCTTCCAGGGGACAGTCCGATTGTTTATACATCTTTTGTCAGTACCTGGATGACCTTTTAATTTTAAGTAGATGACCCGCAGCAACTCAGTTGCAGTTATTTGTTTCATTTGAATGACTACTGTATTTTGGTATGTCTTGATAGAGAGTACTCACTGAACTGTCCGCGGCGTACTTTTGAATCAATAACGGGGTATATATCAATGGCAGGTACAACCTTGTTTCAAATGAATGACGAGAAGAGGTTTCTATTTGTTTTTCAAAGTAGAAACTTCTTAGCTCTAACAAAGAAGAAAAAAGTAGAGATCCCTTTATGAAAAAGGCCACAAGCCAGGATGTCATATATGTGTTTTTTGTTTGTGTTGGCAATCTGGATCTGCACAAAATATCTTTTTGAACATTTTGGATTCAGATGATGTGCCAAAATCTCCATCTGTATGGCAATTCTCGGTAGCATTTGTTACATCTGGTGCTAATCAACATATATTGTAATCATTTTCAGGGAGTTGTTGAGAAAGAGGACCTTGCTACAAAAGCCAAACAATTGCTTGACTACAGGCATCCTAGTCCCGTCTCTGTTCTTGAACCATCTTTCTCTGCTGAAAGTTGCTTCTCTTCTGACAGCATGGATAGTACTAATACGGAAGGTAATAAAAATCTCATCCTAATGAACAACTTACTATACATTGTCTTTCTCCATTTACAAATTGTAAATAACATGAATCAAATGGCATTTAATATCAGGGACCAAGCAGCCATCTTCTCAAGCTGCAGAAATTCTAGGGTTGAGCTTTTCCAGAAAATCATATTCAACAGAAGTTGATATAGACTTATCAGATTCGGCTTCTTCTCTGTCAACAGGAAGAACAGTTGCGAGGGGGCATGCGACTGCTGAAATCTCTACCATTTTTTCAGCTTCGAATGATTGGGAACTAGAATATGTGAAGGAGATTCTGTGTAATGTAGAGTTAATGTTTAAAGACTTCGCTTTGGGTCGAGCGCGTGAGATCATAAACCCACATCTCTTTGAACAGTTAGAAACTCGGAAGGGCTTTATGGAAAGTGATGATCTCACTGATTCTAAGCTAACAAGAAAGGTACTGTTTGATTGCGTCAGTGAATGTATGGATTCAAGATGTAGGCGTTGTGTAGGCGGTGGATGCAGAAAATGGTCTAAAGGCTTGGCGATGGTGAGAAATGAGCGGCTAGCTGAAGATGTGTGTAAAGAGGTTCTAGGTTGGAGAGGCTCGGGGGACTCTATGGTGGATGATCTTGTGGACAAGGATATGAGCGGTCCGGATGGGAAATGGCGGGACTTTGAAGCTGAGGTTTTTGGAATTGGGCTAGAGATCGAGGGTGATATACTCCGCTCCTTGATAGACGAAGCAATTGCTGATGTTCTGCAATGAGGCGCGGAGGTTTTATGATCTTTGAGTTCATTCTCCACCTGTTAATACTGGTAAATTGGCTTGTCTTTTTGACAACTTCTGAGGAACCCTGTTCATGGCACGGCTATAGTTCGCCCTCGAAGAGACAGAAGCAGCCACTAGGAAAGAACCTCCACATTCTACCGCGACCATTCAGCTCGGAATTGTATCCCACTTAATATTGGTTCGCATGAAAGGAACCCTCTGATTGCAAAAGCGGGAGGTTATCTGGTTTGATGCTTCAGTTTTATGATACACGAGCCATTTTTGTACCTTCACCATGATGTTCTGTTGTTAGAACTGTTTTTGTGGCAGACGATTCTTTGGAAATTATTGCCCGTTTGAGCATCTTGCTTCGGCTATATAAGGAGGACACCCAATCTTACTTTTGTTCATATTCTTGATGTGGAGTTTGTACAATGGTAAAAGTTGTCAGAAAATAGGTGCATGGTGAAAGGCATTGAGACTAAAAGAAGAACGATACACGACTTAAGGTCTCAAAGCGGAAATAGATGCATGGTAAGCTTCACTAGCCAATTGGTTGGCCTTAGTCATTTCCATTAGTTGAGCTAGGTTTCAGAACCAACTTTACTATTGCAATCCATTGCCCGCTACTCACTGCGAACTTAGTCGTCGCCTTGTTTCACAATTAAGCTCCATTGAAGGTGCCTTCAAGATCAACTCATTATTGTTGGCAGGGGGAATATTCGAATCATACAATTTCAAGCACTTAAAAATCATTTCCTCTGCATCCGAAGATTACAACTTCATTTCCTATGCATCATCCTAATCTGGAATAGATAGATGAAAGAAGAATATATGATCAGTTTCATTATTTGATGAGTAACACATTAGGAATCAGATGGAGTGATTTTCGGAGTGATCGGGGAGCAATTTTCCAAATGATTACGGTGATGAACCTCGTAGACATTCTTGACCTTAAAGTGAAATCCTGGAAACCCTTTCAGTAGCAAAGCCTTATCATTCTTCTTGTACTCGGTCACATAAGTGTCTTGCTTTTCATCGCTACGGCATTATCACTGGCGTTTTCTGCTTCACCGTTGCCGCTGTCCCATAACCAGGACAACATTTTATCTTCATTGTCCCACTGATTATTGCCACAGCCGACTCCACCTGCCCGATCCCAATCGAACCATTCACCAAACCCAGAGTCATTATTGTGCTTATTGTTGTTCATTGACGAAGACGAAACGTACCACTCCCCCGTACTGCTCTCAGCATTCGATTTTGAGCTCCAAATGCTGCTCTCTGTCTCCTCCGTCACCGGTATCAACTTCTCCATCACCGCAACCTCGTTCTCACTCTCCTCATAGCGGCCCACCATCCCATTCTCACCCTCCAACTTCAGATCACCAACATCCTCAATCTGCAGCAAACAATCAAGTCTCATTATTTCACTGTCTAACCACTCACATGGTCCCAACAACAGCCCCTTGGTCTCTGCCGCTTCTTCATTATTGAGCCCAGTGCCCTTGTCGATACGAGAGCCATGAGCAATATCTTTGTTACTCTCATGGACTGCTGTTTTCTTGTTTGGGACCCATGAGGGCTCTGAGCTCATGATTTGGCTCTCTCCAACTTGCCCTTTAATGGGTGCTTGTGCTTCTTTGCCTTTCTCACTTTTAGGGACAGTACTGTGGTTGGGCCTCTCCAGTAACATTGATGTGAAGCTGCTCTTTCTCATGCTTGACCTGCTTGTCCTGCCTCTCCTCTTGCCCGTGCCAGCTATCTTGACGGCATTCATGGGGGTAGGTACTGAGGGCACGATCCTTGATGACGTCGACGGCCGTGCGACGCTGTAAATTTTCCGGCTCAAATGGGAGTTCCAATAGTTCTTGATCTCATTATCGGTCCGCCCCGGCAAGTGCCCCGCTATTAGAGACCACCTACAATCATCAACCGGAATTATTTTCCCCTTAACTCGATCTTGGTTACTAGCAAAGGATGGGTATATGATCGCCCAACTTCTTAGAAGTCTTTGAAGAATGGTTCCTATCTCGTTTGAGAATCAAAGTCGGGAACTTGGAGTTGAAGATGACAATAAGCATGCCAAGATGGTAAAATGAAAATTCCAAGATTCATCTCTAGATTCATTAGCGTTCAAATTTAAAAGCACAAGAATTAGATGATCTGAACTGGGAATCTCCATTGATGAAGATAAATGAAGATTGCCTTCCATGTGAGAGAAGAAACAACCTTGCATTGTCGAGTTCTGTGTCGAATTAAGCCTTATTCATAAACACAAAGCTTTAGCCGCTCTTAGGGGAATGGATTGAAGCCCCATGATATTGCAATTACTCAACCCAAGTAGACGATATAGCATTTTTTGGCTAATCTAGTGACGAGGGTCAAGGAACACACTAATCTATGCCATGTAAAAAGGTGACAGAAGCTGTCAAGAATTAGTATAATTTCCATCTAGCTAGAAATGCTATTTAAGTATAACAGTCTGCCGCGCATGAACAAGAAATAATAACTTAAGTCATATATAGATCATAGGATAATTTTTACCTCTAGGGTTGCCGAAATTGTCTATCATGATATGGTCATGAGCACGAAAGGCGGCTTACATAAAGCAAGTTCATGCCAAGATTGTTCTTGAAGGGTTTACCTGATTTTTAGGCCCAAAAACAATCAAGACTTTCAACCTAGTGTTGCGGTCCTATTGAACATCTATAATTTTACAAGGGGGGCAAGATAAGATAAAAGTCAAACTACTCTATAGGGGGCAACCCTAAAAAATTTAAAAAAATGGAAAATAAAAATTGAAAGCAAAAAAGGAAGAAGATGGTTAAAGGAAGTGAGTGACTCAAGCCAAAAACATGAATTTAATTATTGGACCCCAACAAAAAGATGATCACTTTTTATGGAAAATGATAGGGGTGTGCATCGATCTCGGTCCAACCTAAGAATCACACCGGTTGTATCTGGGTAATTCTCGTGGGAATCAGTTCAGTTTCGGTTCTTGGGGAGGAACCGTATTGACTGGATCGAATCAGAAGAACCGATCTAGAGTATATGTTTTTTATTTTAGAAAAAAATTATAATAGAAACCATAAAAAAGTTATAAAAAAAGTATTTATAGCAAAAATCATAAAAAAAAAATAACATCGCTGTTTCCTGGGACGACCCAAGTCTTGTATCATGGTGGACAAGGTCAGTTCTCGGCTCCACAAACTAGGAGCCGATCCTGTTCGGTCTAGTTCCTAATTCCAAGATGAAAATTCACCCACTCTAAATCAATCACCTTAAGAAAATGACAATTGAAGATGACTTGAAAAGGAAGGATGGAAGCACGTAATTAATTTATGCCCCTCAACCAACTTCATTATTGGCAGTCCCATCCAAGTACCTAATGTTGCAATACCTTGTTTTTAACGAAAACGGATTTGATGTTCGCCCCCCACATCATCCTTTACAGAAAATACAGCTTCAACAGTTCGACAACATAAAATCTTCTTGAACATAAAAAGAAATGAAGCAGCAGAACTATGGTACAGTCGGATTCAGCACCCAATATCACCGGATTTGATCCCATGAACCCTAGAATCAATAATGAACGAAGATAGATGGTAGGTAGTTAGAGAATGCTCACCTATTGCCCAAAGTGCCATGCAATTGTACAATGAGCTTTTCTTCTTCAGCAGTGATGTTCCCCCTTTTCAAGTCAGACCTCAAGTAGTTAATCCATCTCAGTCTGCAACTCTTGCCACACCTCAATAAACCTAATTTACAAGGTTTTTGCAAAACGCCATACAACGAATGAATCAAAATACAGCTACGTTCGTAAGCTGAAGCTCTCAGATGAATTATGCATATCAATTCAACCAAGAAATGGGGAACAACATAGACCCTTTAACTATCTCAACAGAAACCAGTACCTGCATTTTTGGGGAGAGATCTCCAAGAGCCTTGACCATGGGCTTGAATGTAGCTGGTCAAGATTTCATCTTCTTCGGCTGTCCATCTCCCCTTCTTCAACCCCACTTTCTCGCAACATGGAGCTCTCCCCATCTCTCTCTCTCTCTCTCTCTCTCTCTCTCTCTCTCTCTCTCTCTCTCTCTCTCTCTCTCTATACACACTCTTCACACACACACACACACACACACACACACTCTGTGTGAGTTTAATGTTTGGTGCTTTTTGGAGTTGGATAAATGTGTATGTAATTCAGAGAGAGAGAGAGAGAGAGAGAGAGAGCTATATAGGTAAGGCGTCAAGCCGAAATGCAAACATTAATGAAGCCACCAATGTATAGTTCCAATAGCTATCAGCCCTATATGTACCGCTAAATAGTTGTACGTGCTTGAATTTTGTTTGCTGTTATATATCCTTGAATGTTGGAGGAAGTTATAAAGATTACTAGAGGGAAATATCACTTTTTCATCGTAAGGTAATCAATTCGAGTAATGCATGAGAGATCCTAATGTGATCTAGAAAACTTCCAATCCAACATAACATGTGATCCTTATATTTGGCATTGCATGACTAAAACCAGTACGACGGGTGGTGTCCGTTGTACTTATCACCAACACAATCTTTGAATGACATAGGCTCAAAAGAAAAAAAAAATACCAAAACGATGATAATCTTTTTCTGTGTTTTTAATGTACATAAGCCACATCATGTGGCTCTCTCCCCAAGTGTAGGACTTCCACCTACGTAGTAGAACATTGGTGTTTGTACTTTGTACAAATACATTAGCCCCCGATTATAACATATATCATATAGTTTTTTCTTCTATTTTTTTCTGCGACCGTAACCATCATTCCCTTGTTTGGATAGTAGAAACCATGGTTATTATGACTTGTTCAGTCCACAGGGACAAGGTGCATTCAATATTCTCTATAGGTTGAGACTTGGAGATTGGTTAGGCATAACTTGTGGGGGCAACTATGCTAACAAAACGCGGCGGTGTAGTTTTACATGTAAGGAAAGTTTGTTCATGGCCAAGTGCATAGATCCCCTTTCCGGTCACACCACAAAATAAACCCAGCGATTCGATCGACGTACCAAAACGAGGGATACGCTTATGTCTCGAGATTATTAAGTCAAAGAAGCTTGAGTTGATGCAAAAGTCTACTTATTATTATTTTTTGGTTGAAAAGTTGATGCAAAAGTCCACTTAACTAAGTGAAACTTTGTGTCCATACACGATCAATGAAAAAGTATTAATTTTCATCGTCGTATGTGCATCTTAAACCAATTTGGGAAAAAGGATAAGTCTTACAACTGAAGATGCAAACATAAAAGCTTGTCAGAATCTTTCGTGATAGAAGATAGAATAAAAAACCTTAAATGGAAAATACAGATATAATTTGCCCAAGGAGTTTGTCCACTAATAGAAAATAGAAATAAATATAGCGGTGAAAAAGATAAACTCCCAAATCTTGCCGGGTCGCCCTTTATTATTATTATAATGATGATAATGAAGAATGCAAAGAAATGATGGGCTTCTTCAAGATCCCATGTTTTGATTCTCTCTCCCACATTCTTGTTGTCCCCTTAGTTAAATCCCTCCTGCAAGTCTCTCAGCTTTTAAGGATTTGTGAAGGTGTTGTGGTTGTGGATATTAAAGAGATTGCATGGGGTATGTATCTGTGTATACCCAAAGAGCATATTTCAAACCTATGTTCTCCTGCATTCATGTTTTTGCAGGGAATTTGAGGCCACTTGGGTAGGGAATACACAAAAAAAAGAAACCAAGCTAGAAACGAAAGAGACTCACAAGATGATGTTAATGTCACTGGCTTTATCTTCCCCATCTGCCAAGGTAGAGATCTGCATCAGTGCTTCCCTCAAGTTAAAAAAGCGAAAATGGCTTGTCCATGTTTCTCCGTTCTTCTTCTTCAATCTTTTTTGTAATTGCCCACAGATCAACTCCTGCTACGAGCCTAAACTGTACATAACCAAGTCATTAAGCATCATGATATCATAACTCAACCCCCAAGCAAAACCCTTATCTTCAGCTGGTGTAAGCACCATGATTATTGACATTCTTAAAACCTGAGATCAAGTGTTCTTAAGATGGATTGGGTGCAAACCAAAATATCAAATGGCCAACTTCTAACAGTATCATAGAATCCAGGTCCTTATCAAGAACTGAATCCACATGGACAAAATCAATCCCTCCTCTCCGTGGATCGATCAATTCTGATCAGCATCTTCCTTCTTATCATGCATGAAGAAAGTCCACGAAACAAGCACTTGCATCATAGTTTGGGGTCTATTTTTGTGCCTTGCTAGAGATCAAAAGTGGGTTCTGGTCACCAGAAAGAGCTCAAAAGTCAAAAGTGACGCATGAATTTATTGGTCGCCAAAAAAGGTCCCAAGAGCATGTGAAGGTTGTCCCAAGGCTCCTCCCCCTTTTCTTTATTTTTTTTTTTATCTCTGGCATACAGTTAATATATTCTCATATGTCAGTATCATTCTCAGAAGAGAATTGAATTACATCACATTTATCCGTAGGTGGAGAGAATGAGATGGCGCATGTATGTTGCCCCTGAAAAGACCAGCTGGGTCTTGCACAACTATGCTTTTTATTGCACATTAACTGCTCAACGGAGGATTTCAATGAGCAAAACCATAATTCAAATGGATTTTGGAAAAAAGAAAGAAGGAAAAATTCCAAAATGGGCCCGAAGTGGAGTCATTTTCTCAAATAAGGGCATAAAGTGGACCTTATATCAAATAAGAGCCTGAAGTGCCCTCATTTTCTCAAATAAGGGCCTGAAGTGAATATTGTCTCAAATAAGGGCCTGAAGTGGCCATATCAGTGTCAAATAAGCACCTGATCTCACCGGCCAAAGGGTATTTTCGTCTTTTACTTTTTTATAATTTTTTTCTTTTCCTTTTCCTTTTCTTTATTTTTTTCCTCTCTTCCTTCCGCCCACCGAGGATAACGGAGGCCGCCCTCGTCGGTGACGGGCGAGGGCATGGCCAGCCCAGGCGAGGCGACCCTCGCCGAACGCCGTTGAGAGCCGCCCTTGCCCGACACCGGCAAGGGCAACCCTTGCCCTCGCTTGGGCTGGCGAGGCTAGGCCAAGGCGAGAGTTGCCCTTGCTGGATTTGGCGAGGGTTGCCATTGCCTGCCCGGCCCAGGAGAGGCAACCCTCGCCTGACGCCGGCGAGGGTGACCCTCGCTAGCCCAGGCTAGGGCGGCCCTCGCTTGAGTGAAGGCTGGGAGGGAAGAAGAAAAAAGGAAAAAGAAAAAAAGAAAAGAAAAAGAAAGTAAAAAAAAGAACAAAAAAATATACTTATAATATTTTTGACTAAAATACCCCTCCTTTAGCAACGGAATAGTCACCGGCCGGCCAAAGGTCATTTTTTTAGACGATTTGGCCACTTCAGGCTCTTATTTGAGACGATTTGACCATTTCAGACCTTTATTCGATACAATGTTCACTTCAGGCCCTTATTTGAGAAAATGACTCCACTTCGGGTCTCTTTTTGGAATTTTCTCAAGAAAAAATAATTCAATTAATATTTGTAGAAGAATAATCCTCATTCTTTTTTCTAATTAAGTTAATGAAAAACTTATGAAGAAATGATAAACCTTGTGAAGAAGGGATGTGAGATAATGCTAAAAGAAAAATGAAACGCGGTCGGATTCGAGTATGTTTTCAAGAATCATTGGGACTATATATGATAACAAGGTCCTCGACTCTCTTGGTTCTCATTTAGAAAAAAAAAAAAAGCAAGTTCCTTAATTATTGAACGAGGAAAAATAATCGAAGCGAGCAAAAAATATATGCTATCTTTCTGATTGGCCTTTGTTTTTAGTTCTTAAATAACGAACCTCTCGTACATATGATCTTACATAACAACAGTGTGAGATACAATAAGATTAATTTGAAAAATGAATCCACAAAGTTATGTGACGAACTATGAATAGATATGTAAAAAGTGAGCCACAAACTTTGAAAAGGGTTATGGTCCACAAATAAAGGATAATTTCTTTGAAAAATAAATTACTTTTTTGACAAAGTAATAGAAAGAAAGTTGAAAAGGGCAAAAGAGTAACTTTTTTTGGTCAGAGGAAAAGAATAACTTAAGAACCAGAAAAAAGCATGTAACCTTACTTAGATCGATAGGAATCGAACCCAACAAACTTTGAAAAGGGTTATGGTCCACGTGTATACGTACGTACATACATACATTAAAACTAACGATCGAAAAATGACACGATTTAACTAGCTAGTAATTAGCTAAACAAAATAAAGAATATACATATAACAGCATTTGACAACAATACGAAATCACTCTTTTGTTGACCAAGCCCAATTTGTTATCAATTGCAGATTGAACATAATTATATTATGTTTTGGGGAAGATGAATCATTAATCGACACATGGCAGGTTGTGGTGGACGCCGAGGGCACCGTCTCTTGGTATAGTGTTTTTTTTTCTTTTTTGAACATGATAATTATATATTCTTCTTTCTATCAAACATCTGCACATTTAATCACACCGTCGAGGACAACCTCGCCAGTGGCCGGGAGAGGCACGACCTCACATGATCTGGTGTGATCAGGCCTCGCCCATGGCCGAGGAGGGTCGACCCTCGCCAGCCCAGCGAAAGGCCACCCTAGCAGCCACTGGCGAGGCTCGCAAGAGGCCTCTGGCCGGTCGTAGGACCTCGGCGACTGGCTGGAGGAAGAAGGAAGGGAAGAAAAAGAAAGAGAAAGAAAGCAAAAAAGGAAAAAATAAAAGAAATAAAAAGAATTAAAAGAAAAGTATTAAAAATTATTATTAAAAGTTATCCACATCAGCGCCGGTTGTACCGCGTAGGCTGATCGGCATCCGCATCAGCAATATCCGGCCAAAATTAGTCAGAATGACTAAATTGGCTATAGATCAAAAGATTAGGGACTAAATTGGCATCATTAAAAAGTTTAAAACTCAATTGGCACAAATATAATAGGTTTATGACTTTCCAGACACTTTTCCCTACGTATGTATAGGTTATGTAACATATGGTACAAGTTTGAGGCTATGAAAGCCCTCGATATATTCCAAAAACGAAAGTAGCAACAACATAAGGAGGTTGTAGCAGCACTAGCAGCTCCCGGTTCTTTCTATATATTTTCACAGCTTCATCAATGAGGCCCAAAATGTAATGGATCCAAAAAATGTCCATCATGACCAAGCCTAATGTTTTACCTCATCCAAGTTTGACATTGACTTTAATATTTATAGCGCGTTTGTTTGAGTAAATTTTTTTTTCACAAATTAGTTTTCTGTATTTTCACGCATTTGGTTTGCCGAAAATGGTCGTTCAACTGAAAATCATTTACGGTCAGAGAAAACATACACGCTTAAAGTTAAGAAAATAAATTCCCTAACTTTAAAAAAGGAAAGTATTTTCTCGTAATATGATTTCTCGGAAAGCATTTTCTTGTGTCACGAAGTTTTTCCCGAAACAAACACATCCTAAGGGACTCTTCAATTTTTCTGACCAAAAAAAAAAGGGACTCTTCTATTTCCAATTTTCAGTCACTAGAGTCACATAAGCAATAGCTCTTTGAAAGTTATACATTTAAATGATTGCTCGAAAAGTTTTGGCACCAAAGTGAACGTCATACGATAGTTATAGTGTCGATAACATCATTTTGCCTAGTAATATCTCTCTCACATTGTCGTACTACACCCGTATATACATGTGCATAATAGGAAGTAGAAGAAATGAGAAGGAACTATCAAAGAACTCAACCAAGCTTCCACTCAATGGCCACATAAACATGTCCATCTGATTTCAATGTACATACAATCTACAAGAGAAAAACTTGTGATTCCATTTCTCCTCTCCTTGAGAACCCGGAAATTTCATTCGGCCTGTGAAAATAGCACCCGGAAAAAAGTTACTACCAAATCGGCGAACATTTCGTTATGCAATACGGGTTCTGGGCGACTCACCGGACTATCTCGACCCGACGTACAAGCGGGTCTTCGAGGGGGGAGCTGCTGGTGCGGCGTTCTCTGCGCAGTATTATCTCTCTTCATGTCGGTTTCGGAATTTCTTTTAACAACGGCAGCGATCATAATAGTAATAGAAATTTCGAAAAACAAGACTTAGTTTCGGCTCAGAAAAGGGACCTGTAATTTCGGACGCAATGTCTCCATGGGCACTGTGGATTCTTGATTCATGGCAGCTCCTTGCTGCACCAAATCATTAGTAATTGAATTAGGATTTTGATTAGTATAATGACATTTATTTGAACTTGGAGTAAATAAACACGATTCTAATTTTCGTGAACATTTTACCTTGCACAATGCCCAGTCTGCTGAATCAAAGAAGGCTCTTGCATGGTCCTGCACCCCCATGCAATTGTGTCATAGTTGATAAAAAATTAGGTGAAGATTGATCAAGAATTATCGAGTTAATGATGCCTTGCCTTTGTAATCAAAGGCTTCTTCTTGGGCATGAGTCCCCCATACTTCTTCTCCGACGAGGCATCCTATCACCGGTAAATTAAAGTCGAATTCAAACACGAAGGAAGATTGCGGATCTCTTCTGTCGACTCGACGACGGCGAGAAATTATATCCCCGTGATTAATCGAGAAATTAATCACGAGCGGAGGTCATTAATCGGGCGCTTTAAGAGATCCCGATATAGAATTAGTAGCCACAAAAAGCTGAATTAGAGCAAAAAGCAAGTAGAAGATAAAACGGCACAAAAAGTAGTCGTTTTGTTTCTTAAAGTACATTGATTTCGTAGTTTTTTTTGGGGGTTAAATTAATATATCTTATGTGTAAATAATTCCACGTATGATATTATGTGTATGTAACATGATGATTAGGCTCGAATTATAAAACTTTTAATAAGTTGTGCCAAAAGTAAATATTAAAAATTACAACGTCAACCGTCTCTAGTCTTCTTTTATTTTATTTTTCACTTTTTTCTGTGTGTTGGCCTTCTTCTTCTTCTTTTTTTCTTCCTTTTTTTTTTGGTTGAATTATTATTATTTTATTTAATTTTTCCTTTTAATTCCGTGAGAATGTGGAATGGGCACAATTTGGCACCCGCCGACATCATTATGTGGATATACATACGCATCGGACGTCCGTGTCGTAGCCGTAAGATGCGGGAACCACCTCGAATTAACCGTGCGATTAACATCGTAAGTTTCCGACGGATTTAAGGTAATTATTGGGTAAATAACGCCACACAAGGAAGAATCCGAGGAAGGCCCAATGGGGTCCAAATCCCGAATTTGACCTTCCTAAATATCCTTGGGGCCTTTTGCTATATTTATTATTATTTTCCTTTTTTGCTAGATAAATGTTTCCGTCCAAATGAGAGGAGTACATTCATCTTCTGGTCCATTTTTAAGACATTTAAATTGGGAAATTTGCGAAATATAAAAAGAACCCGAAAAACAATTCTTTCATGGGTAGCTAATGACACCGATAAATTTAAACGATTAGGCGTGTCGTTTTAGCGAAATCTGGCAATATTAACAGCTAACTATTTATGTTTCAAGACGCTGATAATGCACAAATGGAAGTAATATAAAGAAAAGGCACGGATCATCAACGTGTGTATAAAGGAACTGGGCAGCGCACTTGTAAACGAAAATCCTTCTTATATGTTTTGTGCGTCGCCGTTGCCGATTAGACATCGTTTTCGAATTAGTTGCTCCAGCTCGTGACTTATCCTCCGAGCCCACCTAATCAACATTGCTAAATTTATGGTGGACACTTATCATGCCAATTCTCTCTCTCTCTCTCTCTCTTCAAGCAATGAAAGATTATGGTAATGAGCAAGGCCCGCAGCTTGCCAATCTACCTACTTTATGGAAGGAAATGAGGAAACGGGGGCGTACCTCATGTTCTTGGGAAGAACCGTAGCTCTCTCCTCTGCCGCAATCTGCCATATGTCGCTGCTGCAGACATTAATGGCCATACTCAGTCTCAACCGGAAAGACATGGCAACAAAGAATTGCAGAGGAAACAGAAATGAAAGTACAAAAACCTCAATGCCCTCTTAGCCCCTTAAAGAGAGAGAGAGAGAGAGAGAGAGAGAGAGAGTTTTGCAAGCACTGACAATACAATGGAGCCAAGGAACAGAGAGAGTGAGGAATGGGCAGGGCATTAGCCCAATTTATACAAGGCAAAAACCCCAGCAAATGTACAGAGAGAGAGAGAGAGAGAGAGAGAGAGAGAGAGAGAGAGAGAGAGAGAGAGAGGGGCAGTACCTTGCAGAAGAGAAAAGGGAGAGATGCAAGAAAAAGCAACACAGAAGTTTCCAACAGAAACAGATAAAAAGGGAGGAAAGAGATGGAGAGAGAGAGAAAGGAACGAAAAAGAGGGGAGGATGGAGTGCGGAGGTGAGACAAGAATATGGGCGCACACACACATATATGGAAGATGAGATAGAAGTTAGATGGAAAGATTAAAACTTGGAAGCAAAAATCTAACTGACTTAGCATATTAATTGATACTTAATTAACAAAAGATAATCAAACCCCCTCCTCCTCCCTTCAATAAGAGGGAGGGTGGGGGGTTTGGTCATATGGTGGTTGGGTTGAATTGAAGTGGAGGAGGAACCCTTCAAAGATAGAACCCCCTTGAATTTCAATTTGCCTAGAGCTAATTTCTTTTGTTAATTTTTTCTCTCTTTTTTTTGGGGGGGAAGAAGATTAGAGTGTGCTCTTTTATATAATTTGGGGTTTAGGCTGTTAAGACATCGCTATCAAGTCGGTCGACGGGCAAGCCACACCGTACGAGCAATCATGTGCTCATCATCATCCCCCTACCGACACCCCCACTCTCGTCCCCCCCACACTTTCCTACCTCTAAATCTCTCTCTCTCTCTCTCTCTATACATCTTGGGATCCTCCTCTATGAGAAATCAAGGGTGTGTTTTGTAGGAGGGAAAACATCAAGAACCGCATGAGCTTTTGTCCCTTACGGCGGAAGATATGGTGAGATCTCGATGATTTTCTCAAGCAACGATGGGAGTTGACCCAAATTGAGCAAGTGGAGCCATTTGGAGTTGAGTTTTTGTAAATTGCAATGATGATGTCTTTCCCTTGACCATTCTCAAACGTTTCACCTATGACAAAAACAAAGTTAGATGAAGAGGGTGTTTCAGTGAGAGAGAGAGAGAGAGATTGAAGAGGGTGAACAAGTGACCTTAAGGGGTGCTGGTCAACGTTTTATAATTACGACAGACCCCATCTGATTCGAACGGTGGAGATCGCGAGTTCCTTCAAGAACACTCAACCTTCTTCTACTTTGTGAGTGTACATACGGTGACGGATCAAGCTTGAAACTTGATGCAGACTCCAGTATAGTCAACCGGACGGATTCAGACACCAACCCGTTTGGCCTTTGCTTCTCTCTCTCTCTCTCTCTCTCTCTCTCTCATGCTCAGTTTCCCTCCACGAGCTTAAGAAAGTCTACACGGAATCGTCAATGTTACGACGAATTGAACTATCTTCTCAAGCCTACCCACATCGAATAGATAATCTTTTTACACGCACAGGCACCCGATTGGTAACTGCCAAGACTAATAATACCCATTCTCTCTTCTAGAACGATGTTCATTCACCTGCTCATCATTTTCTGGCTAAGGCTTATCCCATTGACTAGATAAGAAAAAAGGCAAGGAGAAACCCATTGTCCAGAGAAGGAGACATTGACTCGCGCGCTGGTGCACCTTCCTTGGAACGTGGGGGACTCCGGTCTGTCCGTGTGAAAAATGAATCAGGAAGCTGCTGTTTGGAATCGATGGCTTCAAGAACGGGGGCCTCGGTTCAGCCCAGCAAAGTAGTTTGCAGAGTTGGCTGGCGACCTGAAATTAGCTTGACAAGCATCCAGATCCAACAGATGATCAGGAAGGTGAATAGCTTTCTCAAGAAAAGCAGGAAGGTGTCCCACAAAAGGGTTTTTATTAAAAGACAACATGCAAAGTCCAGGCTTCACGGTACCAAGTACAAACGACGAGAAAGAGACAAGACCAGCTCGACCGGGGTGCACTCATAATTTACTACGCTTGACAGGTCCCATTTCCTTTGCCTTGGCCCTCAGCAAATGTTTCTGTATCTTTCCCGTAGCCGTTTTTGGCAACGGCCCGAAGACAACAGACTTCGGAACCCAATAAGCCGGCATTTTCTCCCGGCAAAACTTCATTATATCCTCTGCCAGTCGCCGCTCATCGGATTTATCCACTCCCGGCTTGAGTGTCACAAAAGCACAAGGAGACTCTCCCCATCGGTCGTCAGGCCTCGCAACCACAGAGACCTCTAAAATCGCCGGATGCGTGTACAGAGTATTCTCGATCTCTACGCTACTTATGTTTTCGCCTCCAGAGATGATGATGTCCTTTGACCTGTCCTTGATTTCAATATATCCGTCAGGATGTTTCACACCAAGATCTCCAGAATGGAACCATCCCCCTGCAAAAGACTCCTTGTTGGCTTTTGGGTTCTTTAAGTAGCCTTTCATGACGACATTGCCCCGCATCACTATCTCTCCTATGGTTTTACCGTCAGCAGGAACGGGTTTCATGTCTTGAGTGCTCACAACATCAAGACCTTCTAGAGCTGTGTAACGAACGCCTTGGCGTGCATTGAGGCGGGCTTGCTGTTCTGGAGGCAGCGAATCCCACTCGGGCTTCCATGCACAGATTGTAGAAGGACCATAAGTTTCAGACAGCCCATATGTGTGCGCAACACGGAAGCCTTTCTGGGACATTGCAAAGAGAACAGAAGGTGGTGGGGCGGCACCAGCTGTCATTACATGAACGGTGTGAGGGAGAGGGAGTATGGTTTCTTCAGGTGCAGCATTGACTATGGTGTTCAAAACCACAGGCGCAGCGCAGAAGTGAGTCACGCCATATTTAGCGATTGCTGAATACACTGCCTTAGCTGTTACCTGAGGACAAGAAAAGACACGACAGAAGGTTTCTCTGTTAAGCAACATAGTAGTTTTGATATCAAACGAAGCCCATTTACTCACACATTAGCCCATTCAGTAACTTGGTTAAAGCGGCATTGACCCATACAAGATCAAATATTCACACTTTTTGAGCTGATCTTTCGAGTTTCAGAAAGCAACTATTCCATCCATAACTAAGATTTCAAAATCGTGACAGGGAATAAGCTTGTGGATAAAGGACAGACAAACAAACATGTTGACGAGAGGGGGTGATTACCCCCATTGGTTTTGTGAAACATATTAGTGTGTTTCCATTCGTCATAGATAGTTTCACATAATTCCCCCACAAAACTTCTAGAAAATACTTGGTTTAGCTACTGTCCAACAACTTGTTGCATCGCGTCTTTGAGAGAACTTGACAGACAGTTACATATTTACAACAAAATGGATGCCATGAACAAACAAAACCCACTTCAATATTATACTTGTCTGTCAACTTATTAAGCAAGAATTTTTGTATAAATAATCTGAACAAATGAGTTAGACTTAATTATATAGTTCATCATGAAATTTGCCTCATTAAGAAAACTAGGCTCTAGATCAGTCCTTATAAATTTACCAGGTTTACCTTCTATCTGCTCAATTTAGTAAATGGAGTATGGCCGTAGCATAAATAAACTGTAATAAGAACCACAACCAAGCAGGGTTTTACAAAACCAGAGTACTTAGAACAAATGGTCCTTGTACTAAACATAAATGAAACAATTGCTTCTGTTATGCTTTAAACAATGTTATTAGGCAGCAAATTGTCTACCAAATTTGCGGAAAAACAGCATTTTCTGAACCTTAAAGATTACCTGTCTACTCGATCAATATTGTGCAGTTCTTACCTTACCAAAAAAAAAAAAAAAAAAGATTACCTGTCTAAGGCATATGCTGGTTCCACAAAGAGCTGCCAGTGTCCATGTGAAACACCAACCATTACAATGAAACATAGGCAAAGTCCACAAGTAAATGGCCCCTTCATTCATCCCCCAGACAAGAGGGTTACTTACAGACATGAGATATGCTCCTCGATGGCTTAATACGACTCCCTTGGGACTGGCAGTTGTACCAGAAGTATAACCGAGAGTGATACTCTGCCACTCATCTTCCGGTGGTTTCCAAGCAAACTCTGGATCTCCGCTTTCCAAAAACTTCTCATATTCAATTGCCCCTTTTCCTAAAGCGTGCCTAAGTGTTCTTGGGTCACAGCTTTCGTCAGCTATAACAATCAGAAGCGGAGGCTTATAATTTTTCTTACTCTCCTCCGCTAATATTTTCAGAGCTTCTTCAGCCAACGGGAAGAACTCTTGGTCCACCATTACAACTTCAGAAGATGAATGGCCAAGAAGAAAAGCAACTGTCGGAGCATTTAGACGTATATTGACACAATTTACTACAGCTCCGGACATGGGAACTCCAAAATGAGCTTCATATAGGGCAGGCACATTCGGCGCAATCACTGCAACCTGCACAGCGAAACCCAGACAGCCAAATAATGACCAGCAGCATAGAAGAGGACACAAAGAACCACGATACAAGCCTGGAACTATAATGGAAAGCATCACAAGCAAAGCGAATTTTGAACAACATAAAAACTATCAATTGATGAAAACAAAACTTGATCGCATCCAAACAATGTCCCACTTCATCACAAAGAAACGATAAGTTAACATTCACAGCAAAATCGATGTTGTAAAAACTTCACACATGCACGTTGGCAATCCGAACAATCTATTTCTTTTCAAGTGAGAACCATTACTTCAGTTCTATCTATCTAGCTTGATACAGTTCCGATTTCACGGTTCAACAATCTCCGCTCGCAAATATAAAATTATGAGCTTCCGTTTCCCAGTGCTCAACTTCCATCTCAGCTCACACCGTGACGTCTTTCAAGAAAAAAGCCAAACAGTCCCTCCCCACGGATCATACCACCATCACCAAAGTCAACCAATCATCACTAAAGAAATGAGCATCCGCTTCTCCATCAAGCACCCGCATCAAACAAAGAGAGCTTCACACCAGCACTCGAATCAGGGGAATCAAAAGACTCGGATCACACGAACTACGCCGACACAGGAATTATCAGACGATTCCTCATCGAATTAAAAACGGAATAAACAAAGCAAAAGCGTCCTTGTACCTTAACCCAAAAAGGAAAGGACACGTATCTAGATTTCCAACATCACAGTTGCTCACAACATTCCACATATCCAGAATACTACCCATCACCATCGCCAGAGCACACGTGGAAATGGAAAAAACAGAGCACGAGTACCGCGGAGAAAGAGATTCCGTACCGTGCAACCGGCGCCGATGGAGCGGCTGGAGAGAGCGGACGCCAGCCGGCGGCACCGCTGGTACGTCTGGAGCCAGGTGAAGGCGACGGAGCCGTGGACCACCGACCGCCGGCCCGGGTGGACCAGGGCGGCCCGCTCGAGGAACCACAGCGGCGTCAGGGCGGTGTGGTTGGCCTCGTTCTTCGGCAGATCGTCTATGTCTCTCGCCATCGCTCCTCCCTCTCCTCCCTCCTCCCTCCTCTCTCTCTCTCTCTCTCTCTCTCTTCTTCTTCTTCTTCTTCTGGCGTGCGTGAGTGCGTGTGTGAAGCAGAGGCTGTGCTGGAACGCGAAGCAGTCGATGCGTTTTTCGCTGCATATTTATATGCAAAAATCCTCCGACATAGGGACAGAACGATGGGCCG